TATGCCAGGCTGGTGTTGAACTCACAGATCTGCCTGTCTCTGCCTCCCTAGTGCTAGGACTAAAGATTTGCAGCCCCACGCCTGGCTGCAGGAAGTGCTCTTAACCATTGAGCCATCTCTCTAGCCCCAATATTCAGCCTTCTAAAGTGTACAGCTGAGTGGTTTGCATTGCATTCACTAATTACATAAGTGTTGTCAAATCCAGCCCCCGCATATGCTAGGTAAGGACTGCATCACTGTGCTGGAGAGCTTTAGTTGTCAACCTGACACACCTGGGAAGAGGGAGCCTCAGTTGGGGAATTTCCTTTATTGGACTGGCCTGTAGCCATGTCTGTGGGGTATTTTCTTGATATTTGGGTGACTGGGGGCAGGGGGCAGCCCACTATGGATGGTGCCACCCCTGGGCAGGTGGTTATGTATTGTATAAAAAAGCAGGCTGAAGCTGGGCATGGTGGCACATGCCTTTAATCCCAGTTCTCAGGAGCAGAGGCAGGTGGATCTCTGTGAGTTCAAAGGGTAGCCTGGTTTACATAGTGAGTTCCAGGCCAGTTGACAGCTACAGGGAGACCGTGTCTCAAAAAAAAAAAAAAAAAAAAAAAAAGCAGGTTGAGCATGGGCCAGGGGAACAAGTCAGTAAGCAGTTTTCCTCCATAGTCTGTGTTCAGCTCCTGCTCCAGGTTCCTACCCTGAGTTCCTACCTTGGGCTCCCTTGGGATTATGAATTGTGACCCAGGAGACGTAAGTCAAATAACCCTTTTCTCCTTCAAGTTGGTATTGGTCAGTGTTTTGTCACAGCAATTGAAGGTAAACTAGAACAATTACCAGCTCCATCCCCTTTCTGAGACAGAGTCATTAAGTTATTTAGGCTGGCCTTGTTCTCTTTTGCCAAGTAGACCCTGTGATCCTCCTGCCTCAGCCTCCAGAGTAGGTGAGATTACAGGCCCACATCACCACTCCCAGTTTTAATTATGAATATTTTCATCATCCCCCACCCCCTCAACTGCACCCCCATTAGTTGTTACTCTCCATCTCCCTTTCCCAGGATCTTCAGTCACTGACTTTCTCTTGGTCTCAGGGCTCTGTCTGCCTTGGGTATTTCAGATAAAGGATCAAATACGGTCATTCCTGCTGACCTTATTCAGTGTCTTCAAGCTTCTACTTAATATTTATCAGTGTGACTTTCTCATTATCAATGTATGAGAAGCACAATCTTTCCACATCCTCACCAAGACTCACTATCTATTTTCTTTTTGCCATCCTAGTGGGGGTAAAGTGGTACTTCACAGAAACTTTTTTTTTTGGTGTGTGTTCTTTTTGAGACAGGGTCTCCCTGTAGTCCCAGCTGTCCTGGAACTCACTCTGTAGACCAGGCTAGCCTCGAACTCAGAGATCCACCTGCCTCTGCTTCCTGAGTGCTGGGATTAAAGGCGTGCGCCACCACGCCCGGCCTCACAGTAACTTTTTTTAAGGACAGAAGGTTCATTTTGGCTCACAGTTTGAGGTCACACATCATGGCAGGGAAGGCATGGCAACAGAAGCGTGAGGTACGGTACTGGCCACAGGGCACAAGAGGTTAGGAAGCAGCGGGAATGCTGTCCACAGCCCCTCGGTCCGGTCCTTTCTGTTCCTTCAGGGTCATTCTGCCTTGCGTTCCTTTGGTGAGGGCTGCCGCTGGGCGTCTTTGCAGGGGCTTCCTGGCCCTTTCATGCTCTTGCGGAGGTTCTGGAATTAAATCTACTCAGATCTTTTGCCCTTTTCCCCCACTTTTGTTCTTTTTTGAAACAGGGTCTCACTCTGGTCTGGAACTGTCACTCCGTAGTCTATGCTGACCTCCAACTAGTGCCATCCTTGCCTGTCTGCCTCAGCTTCTTGGGTGCTAGGATTACCAAGGTGCATCACAAACATCTTCAATGTGTCCTTTGTAGTGCGAGTTCATTGTTGGTGGCACTAACACTCTGGCCACTTGGGCTTTTGATTTCTTCCTAAAGAAATGATTGTCTAGCCAAAAGTGAGGAATATTTATGTTTTTTTCTTTTCTTTCCTTTCCTTTTTTTTTTTTAAATGAGACAGGGTCGCATGTATTCCAGGTGGCCTTGATCTCAATATGTAGCCAATATGAACTTCTGATCCTTCTGTCTTCAGAGTGCTGAGATTACAGATACACATCACCATACCTGGTTTTATATAGTGCTGGGAATCAACCTAGGGCTTTGCACTTGCTAGGCAGGCTGTCTATCAACTGAGCCACATAACCAGCTTATACATGTTTAAAAAATCTTTTTCAATTTTTATGTGTATGAGTGTTTTGCCTTCATGTATGTATGTGCACCATATATATGCAATGCCTACTGAGGCTAGGTGTCAGATCCTCTGGAATTGGAGTTATGGACAGTTTTTGGCTGCCACATGGTACTGGGAATCAAACTCCGGCCCTCTCCAAGAGCAGGGTCTCCTTGTAGCCCCAGCTGGCCTGGAACTCACAATGTGGACAAGGCTGGCCTTGAACTCACAGAGATTTGACTGCTTCTGCCTCCAAGTGCTGGGACTAAAGGCTTATGCCACCACGCCCAGAACTTCTAAGAGTTTCATAGTTTCATTTTCATCTAGATTCTGAGTCAATTTGAGTTAATTTTTGCCCAACACTGGGGAGTCTGAGGCAGGAGGATCAAAAGTTCAAGGTCAGCCTGTACTATATAGCACAACTCTTTTTTTTTTTTTTAGGATGTTATATTTTTATTAAAGAAAGTCAATTTTAATTAAAAGCTTTCCAAAAAACCCCTCTAAGTTGAGTTTGCATCACTGGTAATGTCTGTCAAACATTTAAGAAAACAATGTTATTTTAAAATAAATTCAGGAAACTGAAGAGAAGGGGATACTTATAAATTAAATGAGAGAGAGCAAGAGAGAGAGAGAGAGAGAGACTATAAGAACAGAAAAACATTCCATCATATCTCATTATCATGAATACAAAAATTCTGTACATAATTTTAGCAAGTTAAACCCAACAATATTTGTAAATGATAAAATATAATTTATGCTATATGTTAATCCTTGATTAAGCTTTGATATTTGACAGTTTGTGCTTTTTGAAGAATTTTCCCACTTAATCTGAATTGTTGAATTTGTTAAACATGAAGTAGTACCATCAATTGTACTTAATCTTGCTGTATTTCAGCTTCTGTAGAACTCATGCTTACTTCACCTCCAGTTTTTGTTGTTTTCTGTTACTTTCTACTCGTCCTTATGATACGTGTCTTCTTTGTTGTTTTCCTGATCAGTTTGGCTGGGGACATATTTATCTTATGGATGTCGTAAAACTTCACTGTTTCATTGTTTGCTGTTGTTCTTATTTTCTATTTCCTTGATTTTCACTCTGATTTTTGTTTCCTTTAAGAATAAAGCAGAAGCTTAGTTTACATTTAATTTTTTCTTACTTTAGTTTTGTAAGAATTCAGATTATTGATTTAAGAACATTCTTCCTTTCTAACATGGGAATTTAGTGTTAGAAATGCCCCCTAAATATTCACTGAACAGTGAATAGTGTCAGATAATTTTTCTGTTGCATTTTAAATTTTATTCAGTTCAAAGGACTGCAATTTCACCCTTCGTTTCTTCCTTGACTACCACATGGAGGCAGGATCCAGGGGCTATCAGGCAGCCCCCAGGGTTCTCAGGCCCTCTGGTAGTTGGAGGCCAGAACCCGGCACTCTGTGGCGGTCTGCTGAGCTCTGAGCCACTACCCACAGCACTACTCTTTTTAAAAAAACATCTGCATATGGCTCAATGTCTTTCTATTCTAACATGTGAATTTCTTGTTTAAGCCACCACTCTTGTCTAGTGCTAATGATTCAGCCCAGGACCTTGGGTGCACTAGGTAGGTACTATATCACAGAGACAGTTACATCCTTAGCTCTTGGGGCTTTTTGAGACAGGATCTCAAATAGCTCATGCTAGCCTTGAACTTGAAATGTAGCCAAGGCTGGCCTCAAACTCCTGATCATCCTGCCCCTACCTCCCATGTGCTGAGATGACAACCATGTGCCACTATGCCTATATTACTGTTTGCTAACACTTTGTACTTTAATTTCTGATTGTCCCAAATTGTCCTTAAAGAGGTTGAGGATACATTCACATGCACTCTAGTCCATAGGAACTCAGTCCCTGTATCTCAGATTGGGTGTTGAGGGTTGGCAAGAGCGTTAGTTAACTGGAGCTCATAAGCAACTGTCACCAGGTGGTGTGGGTGAGTGGAGTGTCTCAGAGGATTGCAGGGAACTTGCTGATGGAACCTGGTGGTATTACCAACTCAGCTATTGTGAAATTCTCCACGTGGCATGTTTTGCTGAGCTTTTGACCATGGGGGCACTGCAGAGGTACAGTGTTGGAGCCATTTGGTATGAAATTCTTAATGATTGAGCGTGTAGAAACTAGGACTCTGCTATGTTTCATTGTCACCCAAAGCAAGGCAGTACTTGAAAGAGAAGCTGCGAGACTGAATGTGACACCAACACTGATTCTGAGTGACAGACAGAGCAGAGCAGACCACAGGGAAGTAGGCCGCCAGGCGAACATGGGTGCCCAAGAGACGCCACTGAATTTGGGTGTCTGTTCTGTCCCCTCCCCCACAGGTCTTTGTGACTTCCTGAAAGCATGGTGCAGCATGGGGGCTTTCTCCATGGAAAGGGGATGTGTGGCATGAACAGGCTCCAGAAAGGCACGAACTGGGTGGGGAGAACCTGGACTAGTCCCTCTCAGCTTGAGCTGACAGTGGCCCATAAAATCAGCAGCAAACTCTGAGCATTCCTTCTTCTTTGTCCCCTGAGGTGGGAAGAGAAGAAGAGATACCACACTGTCTGCTTGTGCAAGCCTAGACAGTGGACCTGTGCCCAAGTCAAGCAGAGGGCTGGAGGAGGATGTAGAATGGGTCCCCAAGTTCTTGGAAGCTATGCCCCAGAATGGGAGACCTGCATTGTAGAAAGTACACAAGGGCTCATTGATGTGGGGTAACAGCTGCTTTTATTAAAATGAAATCTAGAGGGCAGCAGGGCCAGGATGTTGGAAGATGTGAGGTGGAGAGACAGTAGCCGAGGCAGGCCTGCAGATCTACAGGAACCACCTGGAAGTCAGCTCTGAGGCCTATGGCTGACAGGGAAGAGGGCAAGACTGCTCTGTCCTGTCAGAAGCTGTGATAAGGGGCTCTTAAGTGGAACCAGAGGAACCCCACTGCCGCAGTCCCAGGGAAGATGACAAGGGCATGGACGTTAGTTTGAATAGAAAAAAACGAGAACTCTTGAGTTCAAAAAACCATGATTAAGTTTTCACAACAATCTGGAGAGAATAAATACCCATGACCCACATAAGAAACTGACCAGAAAAGAAGGGATGAGATTTGCCACCATAGCAGACATCAGCAAGAGCTATGACCTGCTCCCTGCCGAGTCCTGACAAGGGGTTGCAGGTTGCACAGCACAGAGGGCCCCAGGCTACAAGAAGCAGCAATGCCCATGGCTGATGAGGGGGAGGCAGAGGCTGACAGCCTGGCCCTGGCTTTAGGGGTCTGCAGCGAGGAGGGAAGAAGGGAAATCTGGCTGCTGGTCAGTGCTTGTAATACTGGAGTGACTGTATGAGGGCAACAGCACACACACAAGCACAAGTGCAAGCCCTGGGTCCACTGGGATGGGTCCAGTGCCTGAGGCCAAGTAGGCCAACTCCTCCTGGGCCCGGGGAAGGGGTGAGAATTGTGAATCATGGTCAGGCCTGAGCTCTGGATTCTGCAGGAATGTGTTGTGAAAGTTAGTACTAGAGGAGCAGTTAGTGAGGTGAGAGGCCTGCACCATTGCTTCCATCACTTCCGCAGGAACTTCTTGTTGAGGAGGAAGATGAGAAGGTTGACATTGACTTTAGCCTTACTGAAGAGCTTCATGACAGCCACACCCTCATACTGCAGCTGCAGGAGGTCCTGGCGGGGAGAGGGACAGGACAGGGGTAAGGGCTTTGCAAGTGGCCCAGACAGACAGCCTGTGAAATACTAAGTCATGGAGCTTGACAGTTGCCACTGGTGTTGACATCCCACTTTACAAATGAGGAAATGGAGGCCAAGGAAAAGAAGTTCAGTGATTTGCCTAAATGTCAAGTCAAGCAGAGCCAGGACTTGAAACTAGTTTTCTCACTCAAAAGGTAAACAACAGAGCAAAAAGATTTGCCTGAAAATAGCTGCCTTGAAGGCAGGTGTCAGGGTATATACTTATAACCCCAGCACTCAGGAGACCCAGGCAAGAGAATTGTCACAGATTCCAGGCCAGCCTGGGCTACAGAGTGAGGCCCCCATATCAAAAAACAAATAAAATCAAATAACTGATTCACTGGATGTAGTGGCTCATACTTTTATAAGCTCAGCACTCGGGGGGAGGGGCTGAGGCAGGAGAATAGCCTTGAGTTTGAAGTCAGGACTACACACTGAGTTCCAGGCCAGCCTGAGCTATGAAGTGAGATCCCATCTCAAAAAACAAAAACTAGGGGCTGGAAAGATTTTCCGGGGTTAAGAGCACTTGCTGCTCAATCATGAGGACCAGAGTTCGGATTCCAGCACTCGTGTTCTGCAAATGCTTATAACTTCAGCTGTGAGGGATTCAATACCTTCTTCTGGCTTGTGCATACCCACAGGTGAGGGTACCCATCACCACTGCCCTCACATAAACAAGTAAAAAAAAAAAAACCAACAAAACACAGGGGGATAAGAGGGTGGCTCAGCAGGTCCTTGCCTATAACCCCAGCATCAGGGAGGCAAAGTCAGGTGGAACCCAGGAGCTCACTGGCGAGCTCCAGGTTCAGTGAGAGACAGGGTAGAGGTAGAGGAAGACTTCCAATGTACACACACATACACACACACACACACACACACACACACACACACACACACACCAACAACAGCAACAAAAAAAATAGGACTGGAGAGAGAGTTCATTTGGTAAACTGTTTGCCTTGAAAGCACAAGGACCTGAGTTGGATTCCCAGAACTTGTGTAAAAAAATAAATAAATAAAATGGGGTTGGGGATATAGCTTAGCTGGTATAGTGCATACTTAAAATGGGTGAAACCCTACATTTGATCCCCAGTACTCCATAAACTAGTCATAGTAATGTATACTCATAGCCCACCACTTGGGAGGAGGCAAGATCATAAATTCAAGGTCATCCTCAGATTGTATGGGCAATACAGTTTCACACTATCCTACTTCTGAAAACCATCAACCCAATGCCACTCCCATGATGGTGGTGGTGGAGTCTGCATCAGGACATGGGAAGAGGGCTTCAGCAGCCCTCTCAGGAACAGACTATACCAACTGAGAGGGAAGCCAAGCTTGTGTCACCTGATGCCTAGGGATTGATGCAGCTACTTTCTGTAGGTTAGCACTTAACTCAGTGTTTGGGCCCTTTTTTTTTTTTTTGCCGTGCTGGGGTTTGATCTAGGGATTCTTGCATGTTAAGCAAACAATTTATCACAGCTATAGTCCCAGCTCTCTTCTTACTCTTTATTTTGAATTTAAATTTTATTTTATGTATATGAGTGTTTTGCCAGCATGGATGTAAGTGCAGCACAGCAAGCAATGCCAGTGGAGGTCAGAAGAGGGCATTGGATCCCCTGGAACTGGAGTTACAGATGGTTGTTAGCCACCATGTTGGTGCTGAGAACTGAACCTAGGTCCTCTACAAGAGTAGTCAGTGCTCTTAACCTCTGATCCATCTCTGAAGCCCCAATTTATTTTGAGACAAGGTATCGCTAAGTTCTCTAGGCTGGTTTTGAACTTTAAAAACATTTTTTTTTTTTAACATTTATTCATTTACTTTTATGTGTGTATGTGTGCATATGTGTGGGCCTGCATACCATGGCACATGTATGGAGGTAAGAGGACAACTTTTGGGGTCACTTCTCTCCTTCTACCATGTGGGTAAGACCCAGGGACTGAAACTCAAGGTTTTGTGGTGAGCACCCTTAACTGCTGTGCCATCTCCTGGCCCATTGCCTTGAACTTTTTTGATCCTCCTACCTCAGCCTCCCAATAGGCTTGCACCTACAGGATGTCTCCAGCAGGTGTTGTGAGGGGTGATGAGCCTTACCTGGTAATGAAGCTGAAACCGTTCCATGTCCACACCCAGAAACTTGGCATTTACCTCAAACTTTCCTGCCTCATCTCCAGGGGTAATGTCAAAGATGACATTTCTGAAGCTGCCAGGAATAGAAAGGAGTCAACGCAGGAACTGTCACCAGCACTGGGGGCCTGCTCTGTCTTCTCCCAGCTTCACTTCAGCCTCTATCATCTTTTTTACCTGCCTGGCTCTACCAAGCTATTCTGACCTCCAGGAAGCTTTCCCAGTACCCTCTGGACTGGGGTGTCTACAAGTGCTAGAACATGCCCACTGCCCTCCACTGTGTCTGGGGATGCCCCATGTCCCCTGTCTCTCTCAGCAAGCATGCTCCTCCTTTCTTCCTACCCAGAGCCCTGCTGAGTTGTTCCTCCCAGGGGACTGGAAAAGTCTTACACTGCTCTTCAAAGACACATACTGAGAGAGAGGAAGATCTTCAATTTCCACCAAGACACCCTTTTCCAGGAGCTGGGAAGCTGTATAATGAAGAGACGGTTGCTTCTTTTCCTTTCCAGAACTCCTGCTTAAAAGAAGGCCCCAAACAATTTTCCCAGTAAAGTCTTCACCAGTTGCTAGCCCCTGGTGGCTGGCAAGAGGCTCCCTGAGGAGCCTCCTTGCCATGGAAGACTCAAATACCAGAGTCAGGAGCTGGCTGTGCTACGCTGGGGCTGATTCCAGCAGGGTTTGGAGATGGCAAAGGTGGACAAGAGCAGTGGTGAGAGGACATGGGGACATGGAATGGGGAACGCAACATTTACCTGGGTCTGGGGGCCAGGTGGTCAAGGCAGGCCTGGATGTATTGGCTGTAGTAGTCAGCCTGCTCCTCATAGAAGGTGGTTTTTACACTCAGGCCCTGGAAGGTGGCCCGTAGTCTTACCAGCTCTCCCTTCAGCCTGTGCCGGTGCTTGCGCTGGTTGCGGATGTCCTGCAGATGGGGACCGAGGGAGCCGATCAGTGAACTGTCTGAACAGACAGCTTCAGGGCCTGACAGAGGTCTCAGAACAACTTACAAGCTCATAGTTAGGATGTTTAAGAGAAGCAGGAAGAGGGCCTGGGGCAGGGATGGCTTGGGGTAGAGGGTATGCCTAGCATGTGGGTTCCATCCCACCCAGTCCCAGGAAAAAATGCAAGAAAAGGAGAGCTTGCAAGGTGCTTTCTCTAGGGGGAGGACAATTGCAAGCTCGCCACACCCAACACCCAAGGCACATGTTCGGAGTCTTTCCAGTAGAGCAGTAACTGCTTCCAGGATACTGTGTTTTAGTGAAAAGAGCTACCAGAACATTGCCTCTCTGGTTAATCTTAGGGTCTTGACTGACTTTGAAAATAACCCTGGGCCTTCTTTAGACTAGTGGCAATCTTGAGTGGCCTCGACTAGGGAGAGGCCTGCTTGTGGAATGCCAGCACAGTGGCTCTGCACAGGTGTATACACATGCATACATGTGTGCCCTGAGTCCATGCAGCTACACACAGTTCTGGCCTGGTCGTTTGTTACCTTGGCCAGCTCATCCACCAGTCCCTGGTAGCCATCGCTGGCACTGACCAGCCCCAGGCCCTGTAGTCGACGCAGATTCCTCAGGACACGCCGCTGCTTCTCTGCCAGTGGCAGAAGAGAGTGTGCCACCAGTGAGCGGTGTTGTCGCAGTGGCTCCGGGGTCTGGGCTTCACAGGCCTGGCGCCAACATATTAGCCGAGTGTGAGCTGCTTCCTGGGGGACAGAGATGTTGAGGGGGCCCAAGGCCCTACCACCTTGGCCCAAACCAGGGCAGGCCCTTGAGACCGAAGCCTAGGAGCCCTATGCACATTTCTGGGTGTTGTCAGAAGTGCTGCCAACCAGGCCTAAGTCCTAGGGGATGGTGGTGAATGGTACGGCTGGCACTGAACATGACGGTATAAACGTAGAGTGACACATGGCAGGGTGGATTGCCATAGGAGGGCCTGAAGGAGACGGAGACAAACATGCAGTACACAGACTGGGGAGAGACTGGTTTCTGGCAGCTTCCCAACCCACCATGGCACTTTGGGAGCCTCAAGTGTGTGTGTGGAGCCTCCCGTGCTATTTTGGGACACGCCCCTGTCTGCCCACCTTTACTCTTACTCTTTACTTTTACCACCTTTACTTTGGAACCCTTGGCCTTGCCCTTGCTCCAACCCCCACAGCTGCCTCTGAACCTCAACCCACCTGGGGACCCCTCCTGACTTCCGAGCCCTCCAACAGACTACTCCTTTTCCAGAACAAGGCCTTCTGCATTCCTCAGAGTGCCTCCCAGACTGCCCCTAGGCTCTTCCCCAACCTCAGCACTGTGCAGGGAACAGGGAGGGAATGGGCTATTTCTTGTGGCCTCTGGGGTCAAAGGCCAAGACTTGGGGTACTATGAGCCCAGGGTACTATGTGGCAGACTGGAAGGGAACCTGCAGTGCTAGGGTGAAGTGGAGTTGAAGACAAAGCCCTGTGGACTAGCCTGGCCACTTACTTGCTCTCTGGAAACTGAGTGGGACAGGATCTCCTCAAGGGACTCCCCATGGTGGAACTGGATGAGATCAGCCAGCATCTGCTTGGTGCTGTAAGGGAAGACAGGGAGATCTGAGAAGGGTCTGGACAGGGTAGGCTGAGAATAAGTGGACCCTGCCCCATGTTTGGGCTGCTAGGGACACCTAGGAGGTGAAGAGTGAGAGAGGGCCTCAGAGAAGTACTGTCACCTAGAACACCTTCCCTCAAACTGCCCTCCTCTGAGTCTTTCAGCTCAGATAAGCACTTCCTCCTTCTAGCATCCATATCAGACTCTCAAGGTGCCTGACTCCTCTGGGTGGCTGTCTGTGTTACTGCAACTTTGCTGATTATAAGCTCTTTGAAGATAGTTCTGGCTATTTGATGATGGAGTATATGAATGAGTGCAGGACTGCCACAGTGCTAATTTGACTAACCCAGCCCTGTGGGATCCTTAACTGGCTTTTGCAGAAGTGGAAGAAGAGTAAGTTCCTGGCCTGGGCTGGCAAGATGGCTCAGGTGGTAAAGGTGCAAGCCTGGTGGCCTAACTTTGATCCATGGAATCCAAGTAAAGGTAGAAGGAGAGAACTAATTCTAACCTCCACATGCGTGCCATGGCATGCACACCACCCCCATCATGTACATATACACACGATAATAAAGGAAAACACAAAGTTCCTGGCCTGTCTTCTGACCGGTTAGAGCAGATGACAACTAGGCCCCACCTCCCAACCGGCTGTGGACTAAAGAGTATCATATCTTAGCTGCTTCCTTACCTGAAGTACCTTGTTCCCAAGGTGAAATGCTAACCTTTACATTTGGTCAAACCAGGAATGGTGGCCCATACCTAAAATCTTAGCAGGTGAGAGGCTGAGGTAGGAGGATTTCCTAGAGTTGGAAGCCAGCCTGAACTACAGAGTGGATTCTAGGCCAACCTAGGCTACAATGGGAGACTGTCTTACAAAGCAAATAAACCAAAGCATTTTCCCAACTGCACAACCCTCAAGTGCCTGCTGCCAGAAGATCGTGCTCACTCCTATGCCTGCTCTGGCTCTTAGCAAAAGGTTGAGGCTTCAAAAAAAAAAAAGAGACTGTAGCAAGGTGAATATGAGTTAGGCTTCAGGGAGAACTTTCTGAGGAACAGGGAAGCCCAATAAGAAGGTGTAATGACTGCCTCTGAGTGGGGCCACTGTATTGGCAGTAAGACTGTTGAGCCCTGGGGGAACTTCCATACTCACCTCAGAAGCAGGCTCCGATCGCTGGTATGGTCAGCATCAGCCTCCAGTCCTTCAAACTTGTTGGTGAGCGTCAAGGACACTTCAAGTCTGCTCAGATCCATGTGCCCATCTGTAGCTATGCTTTCTCCTGAGGTGGGGTAAGGGATGAATGGACAGGCATGCAAAGATGGGGGTTATAGCAGAAGTCTCCTCTGTACACATCTTTCATGAAGCCCTCCCACACTGCCCCATGGGACCACACCATGCTCTAACCCCTGACACCCATGGGAAAGATCTGTATACCCTCAGCCTAGGTGCAGGCCAGGCCTTGCAGCTTAGAGGTCCTGGCATCCTGCTGACACTGTCCTTCCACTATATGCCAAACTCCTCCCATTCCAAAGCTCTAGAGCCCCTCTAGAGATAGACTGCTAGACCTAGTAGGACCCAAACAGACTCTCCTCCCTTCACATCTCTTGTCTGATTTCATTGGTCATTGGCACGATAGTTTGGCCCCCTCTACTGTCTAGTCTGTGCACTCTCCATATGAGGCTGTGGTCCTGTGTCCATTAGGGCCAGAGGGAGCAACAGACAGAATGTGATGAGCTGTGTGGCTGACCTAGGCTGCAATGTGTGCTCATGCCCTCCCTGCAGGGCCCCCAGGTGGCACATACCAATGAGGTCAGAGATGGTGGGTGGCTCCCCAAGGTCCTCCAGGAGCTGGTGCAGAGGGTCTTGGTGATCAGGGGCCAGCCGGTCCTGGTGTTCTAGCAAGAGCTGTGGACGGTGGAAAGAAAATGGGTGCAGGGCTAAGTCGGGTTCAGTTCTGGGGGTTAGTGTCCCCACTCCAATGTGGACATCCAGCCTGGCCCTCCAATGCTGACCCTTCACCTCATGTGTGCTGATCAGCTCCCCCACAGTAATGTACACCATGGGTTTGGCCACAGCCACCATATCTGAGTACTCATCCATGGCAAAACGCTCCTCTGGCTCTGGGACCTGGCAGGCTCTGCAGATGAACGTCCTATCCCGGGGGTGGGGGTGGAAGAGGGCATATCAGAGTGGACTGAGCCAGCACCCCACCATCTGACCATCATCCAAATCAGCTCAAGCCAGTTCTGATGCTAGTCTTAGCCCCTGCCCTGCTTTTGTTTGATCCTACTCTCAGTGTGCCACCCGTATGAGGCTGTTAATTGTCCTCTTCTCTCTCCCCTGGGAAGCTTCCTTTTGCCCTCTAAATGCCCCTATTCCCTGTGCCTCTTTCGCCTCACAGCTCTACAGAAGAGAGCTGGGATGTGAAACATGAGACATGGAGAGAGGGTCAGGGAGCAATAGGATGCCTGGACCCAAGACCTGAACTTGAGATGCATATCCTCCAGGTAGCCATTGAGGACTCGTAGGTGCGGGCTCTCTCTGGTGAAGGCCTTGCCAGCAGCAGCATGTTGCAGGAGCTGAGCCACAGCCCCCAGGGCATGGCGCTGGGGGGCAGCCAGGGCACTGCCTGCTGCCATGGCCACAATGTCGAAGGCATCAGGAGCCACCACAGCTGGGTTCAGGAAGCGGTAGTACAGGAGGTTTCCTACCACCTGTGGGCAGAGGAGAACCTCCAAGAAAGTTCCAGAAGCCCCCTTGACAGTCATGGCCCTACATGCCCCACTGCTGGGCCAGGCTCCATTTACAGGGTAGAAGCCATTTCCCTCCTTGCATGTTTATAGCATGTCAGTCTGGGGATCATGAGTATGAGCAGGCAAAGGGGGTTTTGGAAGGTAGTGGAGGGGACACAACACTTGCCTTATAGACCTCATTCTCTGTGGCATCAGGGAACTTCTTCTCCAGGGTTGTCTTCAAGACTTTGGCCACATAACGCATTCCATACCTTGGGGACAAAGTCAAAGATATGCTATGGCCCTATCCATCCCTGTCCCAGGGCTCAGGGCATGACAGCCTGGCTGCCTTCCCTCTTCAATCTCAGATGCACTAGAGCTGAGCCCAGGTATATTCCTTCTACTTACAAGTACCCCCTGCTGCAGTACTCTATCCCTGGGCCCATCTTCCTGCCCTTGTGCCAATTCTAGGGATAGGACCCTGTATCCCCTAAAGCTCCCTGGTCCTAGGGCCTCTTTGGGAGGGTTGGGAGTATAGAATGAGGAGCTGACAAGGTCTTGCTATACAGCACAGACAGGCCTCATACTCAAGATCTTCTTCCCAAATGCTGGGATTACCACACCTAGACTCAAGAGCCTTTTCTTTGAGACCCTCTAGTTTCCCCTGAGGGAACCCCAACTCATAAAAAGCCTCATTTTCCCTAGGAGGCACTTTCAGCCTGTCTCTTGGATACCAGACAGCCCAGAAGTCTCCAAGGAAGCCAAAATTGCCAGCTACCAGAGCCCCTGTATGGCATGTCTAGGTTGGGGCAGGGCTTGATTGCCTACCAACCAACTACAGATCCCACTTTTAGCTGCTGTCCTCCCTTTTAGACATCTGTCCCCTAATCTGGAGGACTGGAATAAGCACTCATGCCCTCAGCCTCACAGGATTTTTGTGAGATCCAGTAAAATGAGGTTTGTGCAAGTGGCACATAATAGCAGAGTGCTATTCCAATGTGCTGCGTTGCTTTATTACTATTCCTGTAATGGATTTGCTACCTACAAAGCTAGATTCCTTTCAAAGCTATTTCTACCTCCCAGGCTACTAGACAGAATTTATATAACTCACTGTGCATTTCTCTTTTTAGATTTAAGACAATCTCTTCTTACTCCTAAATGCAAATCCCCAATCCAACTTTCCAGTTTGGGGTTGTTATGAATCCTGGGTTTCCCCTCCAGCACCCAACCTTGCCCTCTGTGCCAAGGAGGCTGGAAGCAGAATGCTAGATCTAGATGACACTTACCTGATCACATTTTCATTAAACTGTTTTCAACAAAACATCAATTGGCCAATTTTGGGGTCTCATGTAGCTGAGGTTGAACTCAAACAATATATAGCCAAGGCTGACCTTGTACTTCTAACTATCCTGCCTCTCCCTCAAAGTTATTGACTAATTTCAAAAAATTTATTATTTTTATTTTATGCGTATGAGTGTATTGCCTACATGTATGTAGGTGCACCTGTGTCATGCAATGCCGTGGAGGTCAGAAGAGGGCTTTGGATTCCTCTGGAACTGGAGTTAAGGATGGTTTGGTTTGTAGCCGCCATGTGGGTGCTGGGAATCGAAGCTGGGTCCTCTGCAAGAGCAGTCAGTGCTCTTAACGGCTGAGCCATCTCTCCAGGCCCTATTGACCAGTTTTTAAAAAATGTTTTTGTTGAGGCTGGAGAGATGGCTCAGTGGTTAAGAACACTGGCTGTTCTTGCAGAAGACCTGGGTTCAAATCCCAGTACCCACATGGCAGGTAACAACTAATTGTCCATAACTCCAGTTCCAGGGGATCTGACTTGACATCCTCTTCTGGTCCCCGTGGGCAGTGAACAACATGGGTGCACTTACCTTATGCAGGCAATACATGCATATACATAAATAAATAAAATTTTAAAGTTTTTATTTTTATTTTATGTGTATGAGTGTATTACTTGTGTGTATGTAAGTGCACCCATGTTGTGCAATGTCCACGGAGGTCAGAGGGGGTGTTGGATTCCCTGGAACTGGAGTTATGGATGGTTGTTAGCTGCCATGTGAGTGCTGGGAACTAAACCTGGATCCTTTGCAAGAGTAGTCAGTGCTCTTAACTGCTAAGCTATTTCTCTGGCCCTGTTATTCATTGATTTTTAAAACAGAACTATAAAATGCTTTACCAGTTTGATTCTGTGGGCCAAAGAGTCTCATTTCTTCCCCTAATTGTTCTCAGAAAAATGTATGTCCCTGTCATCATTTTGGATCCCGCCTCTGACCAATGACATCCTACCAGCCACACGGACCTGCCTGTGGCCTTCCAGCTCAGCCCTCTGGCAGGGGCTTCGAGGGTCTCCACACACCTGGAGCCTGTCTGGCTTCTTCTTTCCCATACTTTTCTGTTTTGGACATCACCTTGCTCTGCTTGACCCTTCCCAAATGACTTGGCCCTGGGAGGAAAGCTGTCACACATACGGAATGTGGTCCACAGATGAAATGATGGCAATGAAGAACTTATTGGTCAGGGCGAGGAGGTTGCGCAGGGAGATGTCTAATCGTCTCTGGACCTCAGAGTGGCTCAGAGCCTGTTCAGGGGTGGCATCATATGGGAGATGGCTGTGGGCAGAAAGACAAGGGAAAGCTGGCATCCCTTCCTGTTGTCTCCCTTCCTAGGGACTCTTCTCTAACTCCAGGGACTCCTATAGACAGGCTCAGGACAGACTAGTGTGCCAAGAGAAAAGGCCAGAGAAAAAGCCCAAGCTCAGAGAGGACTGGAGCAGTGCAAGTACACAGAGCAGAGGAAGGACTTATGTACTATGGAGTAACTGGAAAAGGGCAGGAAGGAGTGCAAGACCCAAAAGCAGACACCAAGGTTCTGCCATCAAATTGTCCTTGGCAGCTGGGGTAACAGAAGGCTGGGGCTCATATTCCCCTCCCCTAAAGCTGCTTATGTCATCCAGTGATATCAGCAGAGCAACAGCCCTTCTCCATGCTGGACTTCCCTAGTACCTATAAACCTGCAAAATGCCCCAACCTGCAAGACCAACTGATTTCTCCTACTACTTATTTGCCTATTCATCTATAAATCTGAGTATTTGTTAATGCCCCTAACAATAAAGAGCCTAGATCCCAACTCCTAACAAATGTGGCACATGATTGGCAATTAAGCACATTTGTTTATTTTTGCTCATCTTCAGTGAAGCCCATCAGGTCTGCAGCCATTTACATCTATGTTATGTTAATAACCAGGGGTCTGGAAGGTCCCTTGACTTAGGCCTATACAGTTGGTGTCATCTCTGAATAAGTCAGCATGCTCCTTTGTATGTGACCTTCAAACACACCCAGGCTTCCTAACAGAGCCCACTTGGAGCCTGATCAAAGAGAGTCTTCCCCTCCTGTCAAATCACCTGCGTTGCCCAGTCTGCGCCTCCATCTGGTTGATCCAGCTCTTATAGATGTGGATAGGGTCTGTGTGGATGCTGAGTGTCCTGTCCTCCAGCACATCCTGGATGACCTTGCCCAGGATCTCTTTCAGGGCACTCTGTCCCCGCCCATTTCGGTAGAATCTCACCACCAGCCTCACCACTGTGGGGTTGCCTGTGATCATGTCCTGGGGCTGTTCCACCTTTGACCTGTGGTTCAAGAGGTTACTGGCTTCATGCCTTAAAGGAGGACATAGCTGATTTTCTGTTTTGAGATTTTTAGCTGTTCAAAGCCTACTCTAGTGTCCCTACCCTGAGGAAGGTCCTGGTATCTGGGTGTCATCATCTCTGCTAACATGTCGGCCCATATCCTCCCACTACTGCCCAGAGGTGTCCTATTCTCTACAAGAGTAAGAACAAAGGAGCCTTCTGATGTGCCATTCAAATCCCTCCTGCTTCTGTGTCAGAAAAACCTACTTGATTTCCTCTTGGAGTGCAGTCTTGAATAGCTGTAGCAAAAGGTAGGCCTCTCGGCGGTTAGAGGCATAGTTGTATAGACTGAAAATTACCGCCTCCATGAATTTGGTGGTTCTGTTCTGTGGCATCTGAAAGATCAGCTTGGCCAGATAGATGGGCTGAGTCTGCAAGAGATTGGGGAGACAGGGCTGGTGATGCTCTTGGAGAGCTAGCAATCAGATTGGGCATTTCACAGCAAAGGTTTTCCTGAAGGGAACTCGGAGTGAAGAAAGGATCACCTTCTTGGGGCACTGGAAATATTCACACAGAAGCAGCTGTCTCCCTGGGACAGGGTATCAGAATGATGGGAGAGGATGCCTTGCATGGGGAAAGGCATAAAGCAGGACTCAAGCTCAGGATGTGACAGAGACTTCTTAGAAAGCCCTCTGCTTACCTGTAGCAGGTAGAAGAGGTGCTGGTAAGCTTCTAGCTTCTGTCGTTTCTCTCTGCTCAGAGACTTTAATCCCTTCTGCTTGTCTAGAATCATCATGTCTGACAGCTGATCCTTATTCTTCTTGGTCAGCTTCTTGCAGTGGGAGACTGCTTCCTGCCAGGAATGGCATGTGGGTGTGGTGGCAATGCAACTGGTCCAGGCCAGTACCAGGCATGGAGCATATGGTCCAGACTTGGTATCTAGGAAGGCTGTAGTTGAAGGACTCACAAGAGAAGGCTACTGCTACTGCTTGTACTCCATCTGGCACCTCTGCTCTCACAGACCAGTCTCCAAAGAGCTCTGACTCATCAGGCAGAACCACTGTGCCTAGTTAGAGTTTTGCTACTATTTCTTTTTCTTTTTTAAAAAATTATTTTATCATTTTAATTTAATTTATATGTATGAGTGTATTGTCTGCATGTGCGTAAGTGCACCTATGTCATGCAATACCAGTGGAGGTCAGAAGGCATTGGATCCCCTGGAACTGGAGTTACAGACGGCCGTTAGCTGTCATGTGGATGCTGGGAATTGAACCCAGGTCCTCTGCAAGAGCAGTCAGTACTCTTAACCGCTGAGCCATCTCTCCAGCCCCTTTGCTACTATTTCTTATTAGACTGATCTTCAAATGTGGGGTGGTCATCACCAAATCACCAGCTGGTTGCTGTATATCTGAATGTAATTTACAGTTAAAGGAGCTTTCATATCTGTCTCTGCACTCAGCCTGGGGAGGTAGACACTTATCCTTCCAGCTTGCTAAAGAGGAAACCAACTTTAAGGTTAACTGATCACCTACAGCCCTTTTACTAGGAGTCAGCAGAGCCAGGCAGCCCCATTCTACTTGCAAGGCTCCTTCTGTATCACACACATCTCAACCAATAGCTGACCACAAGGACAGATGGCCATCAGCACAGGACCTGAGCCAGGTGGTAAACCACACATTTGAAATGATGGAATTACCAATTGGAAAATGGTCAGCACTCCCTTCCAGAAGCAGCTGGGTTGGGCGAGGGGTGGCCCAGGGAACCTCTCACCTGCAGTGTGATCCGGTTCTTTACCAGTAGGCCAATCTTGATGTCCATGAGGTTGAGGTCCTGCTCCAGCTGCTGATTGGACCTGATCTTCCTGACTACTTCTTCCTGGAGCTTTAGCAGCTCTGCCTCGGTGGAGAAGTCCTCCTGACTCTGGTTCAAGAGGTGGGCGAATCTGCGCACCACACTGAGGGGAGGGTGGCATGCATGTACTAACAAGAGAGGAGGCATGTATTAGGCAGGTTTTACCCAGGCACCTCTTAGTACCTGCCCCATCAATGTCATGTCCCTCTGCCCCATGCTCCAACCCTAGTCTCTTCCAACTGCCAGGTCTATGCCATTTCTATCATACACTTGGACAACAAAGCTGTTCTCTGCTCCAGATATACTGCCCACTTGGCTTTTCCAGATACCCCCTTATCAAAGCCAGGGCCCCAGCTCTTCCTGATGTTCCTAGAAGCCCTACTTGCAGGGCTCCAGTCCTTCCTGATGTTCCTAGAAGTCCTCCTTGCAAGGACCCAGCTCTTGTTGAAGTTTCTAGAAGCCCTCCTTGTTCCTGCCTACTTGGCCATCCCCACCAGTCAGCCACCACTTAGCCTGGCCAGCTTCATGTAGCACTTATGCGTAGTGTCTGGGATTGGGGTGGGGCACAGGTAGCCAGGGCAGTTAATTTTATAATAGAGAGGTCAGAGTTAAATGGAGAGTTGGTATTTGAGAAAAAACAAAAATTTTAAAAAGCAAACTAAAATAGAAAAACAACAGAAGTCTCTGAGCTAAGGTTAACAAAAAAATAACACATATACTACAGAATAGACAGTGTTGCTAGTGTCTTGTTTTGGTTCAGTGTTGTTGTGGCAGTCTTGCTATGTAGTCCAGGCTAGCTTTGAACTTAGGATCCTCTGGCTTTGCCTCCCAAATGCTGGCTTATGGGCAGGTGCTACCAGGCTTGGGTCAGACACTGTAACCATTCATCTTATTGATGAACTTAGAAAGGAACAGAGAGGGTAGGTAACTTGCCCTAGGTTATGCAGCTAATAATGAATGAAGCAGTCAAATTTGGAGGGCAAATCTAGGAAGGGGCGTAGGCAAATGAGCCACTGTTAGGTGTTGCTTTGAGACAGGCAAGCAGGGAGACTCTCTGGGGAAACAAAGGTGGGCCCACTACTACCAGAGAGCAAAGAGATACTTTCAGAGGCTGTGAGGCCCTCCTACCTACTATCTGCAGAAGAGGAGAGAAAAGGTAGCAGTAGCTGCCCAGAGGAGCCGGAAGCACAGCACACCTAGACTTGTAGGACAAGAATAAGAGAGGCCTAGAAAGGCCTCCCACAGGCTGGGAAGAGGACTTTATTGGTAAAGTACTTGCTGCACAAGCATTAGGACCTGAGTTTGGATTCCCCGCATCATGTGAAAAGCCAGGCATGAAGGCATATGTCTGTATTCTTAGGCTGGGAAACAGAGTTAGGAGGATCCTGGTGGCTTGCTGGCTGGAAGGCCTAGCCAATCAGTGAGTTCCACATTCAATGAGAGACCTTATCTCAAAAAATAAGGTAGAGAGCAGTAGAGGAGGATATCTCCTCACATGCACACAGATGTGCATACACCATATGCACACAGATACACCAAAGAGCATTCTTAAAACTTTACATGTGTGCCCAACTATGGGAAACACAGGGCAAGAAGCTGATCCCCCCACTTCCCTACCTCTCAGTGCTTTTTACCTTCCCCAGCAGGCAGAAAGACCACAGGCCTTGCCAGGCCTTGTGTGTCTGGACCCCAGAGGCCAGGGAGTGAGAGCCTGAACCAGAGCAGAGGGCCAAGCTGGAAGGCTGGATGCCGAGGGAGGGGATGCTAAGCCTGGTCAGAGAGTGTTTAGTTAGAGGAGTCCTGACTATGAGAAGGTATTGGGAGGTGGAGATGCCACACCTCCCCAGATAACTATGCATTCCCATGAGGGATACCTATACCTGCCTGGCTCTGGGGTTTCTGTCTCCCCAGCATACCTAACCTCCTGTAGTCATCACGGGCTTTCCTGGCTCGGAAGAATGCCTGGATCTTCACAACAGAGTTAACCTGCCACAAACACAAGAGAACAGGGTAGTTTCCCAGCTTGCTCTGCTCTGGGTAAGGGTTGGCACAATGAGGCAACACTCACATTCTGTTGGAAGTAGTGCAGTCGCCTGAGATATTGTCTTCGGGCTGCCCACATTCGGGTCCAGGCCTGGATCTGAGAGAAAAGAAAGACCTTGCTTCAGAACACCAAGCTGGAGAACCCCCTCAGACCCGAGCCAATTCAGCCAACTCCAGGGTCCCAAGAAGGTGAGAGGAGATAAAATCACCCCAAGGCTCCCTCAAGAGAAAGAAACCACTCAAACCACTATAGCTACCTTGATTACGGTATCCAGGTTTGCCTTAAAATATTGCAGTCGATCCTGGTAAGCCTTCCGCTGTCTATAGCCCCGCCAATGAGCCTGTTAAGCAGAAGATGGAACTCTAGAAGATCTCCTTGGGCCCGAGGACTGTGGGAACAGCCTTGTTCTAGGCACTCAGAGGAGGGTAGAGATAGGTGAAATTGCACTGTTCTCAACTTTATGGAAAAGACTAAGACTCTCCACTCTAATACCTCTTCATGGAAGCTTCATTAGAGAATGTACTGTCTTCCATATATTCATCTCCTATCCAATGCCTACCTTTTACATGTGCATAGGCTGTGGATGGAAAGCAGTCAGGAGTGGCAAAGGGCTACATGGTAGTGTGTATAGGCACAGAGCTGTATGCAATAATTTTTCTGTTTTTATTTTGGCACTAGGAGTTGAATCTAGGGTAGAGCAAGTACTCTAACCTTGAGCTACTTCTCTGGTTCTAATGCTTTTATGACACCATCCAGCTTCTGAAACTGGCTCTCAGCAAATCTTCCCACCAAGGTCCTCAGAACAACCTGTGAGTCTCATAGCCTTTCCTCATTCTCATCTGCTACAAAGGGGCTAGCTGACATCAGTCTACAAATACCCTGTCTTCTGAGAAGCCTCTTCTCTTCCCCCAAAAGTCTGTGTAAGATTAACTTTCTTTAAAGATTTATTTTTATTATTTTTAGTTATGTGAATGCATATGTATGTGTGTACAAGTGTGTGCAGGTGCCTGCAGAGACCAGAGGTGGAGTTCCAGGTAGTTGTGAGCTGCTTGATGTAGGTGCTGAGAACTAAACTCGAGTCTTCTGCAAAAAGAGTGTGTACTTTTAACCCCTGAGCCACCTTACCAATCCAAGATTAACTTTCTTAAAATACTACTTCCAGGGTCTCTCAAGATATTTCACCTCCTAAAATATGCTTTATGAGTTCTACCTGCCATCTTCTGAGCACTACCTTATTCATTGAAATCCAGTCTTTTGGGGCCCAAGCTAAATATCTAGTGTGCAGGTACTAGAAGCCACTCTAAGATTGAAATTGCTGTAGTTTGATGAAATTTAAGAGCATCCTTTCATTGAGTCTGGTGGCCTATAATCCCAGCTACAGAACAGGCTCATGCAGGAAGATTCCAAGTTCAAGGCCAGTCTGGGCTACAGTGAGTTCAAGGCTAGTCCGGGCAACTCAGTGAGGCTGTTTCAAAATAAAAAATAAAAGAGGGCTGGGTTTTTTTTTTTTAAAAAAAAAAAGAGGGTGAGATGTATCTTAGCAGTAAATCAAATCTCCAGGTTCAATACTCAAACCAAAAGAAAACAACCATCCTTTCAAAGCTGGTTATGGTGGTAAATGTCTAAAATCCCAGTACTCAGGAGACTCAGACCAGAAGCATTGAGAGTGCCAGGCTAGCCTACCAAAACAAACCCAGAGAAAATCACCCTTTCACTCAATTGTCCTACCACCCTTCCCAAAGCCAGTTCTTCCAAATTGGTTTCCTCCTACAGCTGTCAGAACAGTATGTCCTTAGTGGAGTTGGAGGCCAGGAAACTCCATTCCCACATCTGCTCTCCACATTGCTTCTTCCATTCCAGGCTCTGATGATGCAGCCTCAAGAAGTGCTGCAGGAGGCAGAGGGTCTGAGACTATGTACTCTAACACCTCTTCATGGAAACTCAACTATGAGATGTACACCCAAGAGCTCTTAGTAAAGTACAGATGCTCACCAGCTTCATCACACCATGCCCTTCCATATACAACACCTCTACCCCCACTCTGTCAGCCCCTAAAAGACTCTTCCCTAAAAACATGCATCTCAAGCCAGTAAGATGGCTCAGTGGGTAGAAGTGCTGGTTACCAAGCCCAACAACCTGAGTTCAATCTTCAGGAACCCACATGGTAGGAGAGAACTGACTCCTGAAAGCTGCCCTCTGACTTCCACACTTGCACCATGGCACAAGCATGCCCATATACACACTTACATACACATATACAAATAAATGTAAAAAACCCCAAAATCAAAACATGCCCCCTAATCTGGATTATGTTCAGAATCTCACTAGAATTCTAGCTATGGTCAGAGCTTTCAGAGAGGGTAAAATCTCTGGATACCCAGGCTACTTCATTTCTGAGTTTTACTGAGACAAGTGGTCTGAGGCACTGAGTTGCCTGTATGTGGTCCAAGGCCAGAACCCACAGAGCTCCAGTCTGAGGGACAAACACTCCTGTGACTCCATCTCTACTCCCATTGTCAGTGACTTTTTATCACTTTAGTGAGAAATCCCAGTCTGGAATCAGGAGGGTGAGTCCCTGTGATCCAGACCCTCCATGCAGACTACTGAGTTCTGGAACTAAGGCCCTGACACCAATATTCAATAAAGCTTTGCCAAGGGAGCCTGTGGCACACTCAGTGTCACACACAACTTCCTACTCAATCTTCCTGTCAACGCACTAGGCAAGTACCCTCCTTACAGAGGAGTACAAGGTCATAACCAGAAAGCAGTAGGGCCAGGAGGCAAACTCCAACTTCAGAGCCTGAGCTTTCAGTTACTACCTGCAGGCTTAGGTCATGACCAAGGGCATCTGCCAGTCCCCAGCTCCACGTTTCTCCCTTAAGTTCCTCTGGTATTATCTTTGTGTCCTTCCTGTCACATTTAATGTCAACCATACTCAAGTTCTTGCAAAGTGAGGAACATAACTGCTCACTGTGAATCTCACATGATCTTCCAACCTTGCCCTGTGCACTGGGGCATGCTTTGCAGGTACTGGGCACCAGAGAGGCTTATTAAACAAAGTATCTTTACACTGACAGCATCCCTGTAAGGCTCTCTAGAGCATACCCGCCAGGGCAAAGTTCCCCTTATTCCCAGCTCACAAAGTGCCCTGGCTACCTTCCTAGGTAGTTTCCTGCCCCAGTCACTTGCTGACCAGCCTTAGAGGCCCCATGGGCCATGCACAGGTTGGAGGAACTGAATAAAAGAGCCACTGGTAAGGATCACATGCATATCGCAGCCATCTTTCAGTGAGGGGCAGACTCCCTTTCTGCCAGTCCCTCCTCACAACCCCTGATCCAGAAAAAGCATCTTCCTGGTATTAGAATTTTACTTCATTCTTCCCTGGGACAGTGATAATGAAGCCAATAGCCAGTGCTTAGATCGCTCTTACAGAAACACTAGGCATCTTATTAAACCCTCTGAACTACCTTGTAAAGTGGTGCTAGGGTTACCTCCATTGTTTGGAGGAAACTGAGGCACAAAGAGAAAGGGTAGTTTGAGTTACACAGCTAACAGGTCAGGAAGCCAATAGTCTTGGCTCCAGAGCCCTCACCCTTCACCACTACTGTCCAGAGGTCTAAGGATTACCCAACTACTCCCCAGGGATGGGAAGGAGGGTAGACACCCTGCATCTCTGATCTGCCTAGGCATGCAGAGAACCAGAGCTGCCACCTGGATCTTGATGACTGCTGGAAGCCAGGTCCTCAGGAAATGAGACTGCTCAGCAAACTTCTGGCGAACAAGGAAGCCACGAAGGTGGGCCTGGAGCTGGATGACAAAGTTGACATTGGCCTTCCAGAGCAGCTGGCGGTCATGGACAGTGGTGATCTTGGTGATGACTGACTGTAGAGGCAGTAGTCCTTTTGTGGGTAAGAGCCTCTCCCCACACACCATCCTCCACCCTGGCAAGAGCTCTGCCAACCTGGATCTCCTCTCGAGTCAGGTGGGAGGTATTGAGGCGGCAGTTTGGAGGCTGCTCCCAGGTCCCCTGGAAGGTCTGCAGATGGAAGTAGTAGGCGGTGCCATCCTTCATATCATGTTTAACCCAGAAAGCCGTGTCCCCTGAACAGAAACCAAGTAAGCAGAAAAGGCTCAGAGGAGGTGAAAGGCAGCTGGGACAGGCAGCAGAGAACAAGGTCAGGCCATTACCAGGTTGTCGCTTCTTTGCCACTGCATCTTCTAGGGCCTGCTGGTAGCTGTTGGCACAGTTGGGAACGACCCCTCGGAGGGCCACGGTGGGGTTCCTCAGCACCCGCTCTGTCTGGGCTGCCTTGCCCTCCTTGATGGCCTGATTGATAGCTGCCACACCGAGGGCCACTGGTAGGCACAGGAGAGAGAAGTCAACCTTTCTGGAGTCCCTCCCATAGACCCTGTCTTGTTCAGTGGGGCAGGATTCAGAGAGGGACACAAAATCACTCTGTGAAATGGAGGGGTAAGGCGTGTCTAGGATGGACAGATACACATGGTAAGCTGTAGCAAGCAGCCGTACTGGCAAGAAGAGGTAGGCTCCTGTGGGAGGCAGGGTGGGACGAGGCTGGCATGGAGCCTGTACCATGGACTTTCTATAGCTTCTGCTAGGGGCACTGTAAAAATGAAAGCATTCTATTCAGAAACTTCAAAGTAGGATCTGAGAACCTTGGGATAGTTTCTTAGAAGAGTAAAATATAAGAAATGAAGATGACTGATGTACCACCAGTTTTCTAGCCCTCACAGACCCAGAGATCAATACCCTGTATATGCAACCCCACACACCTGATCGGCTTGACCTAACACTGCCTGTTTCCCCTAACTCCCACTCAAGACTATCTAACCAGAGCTAATTATTGGAGCCCAAATTCAAGCTACCAGTGGAAATGGGATGAGTTTTTGGCACTCACATGACTTTACAAGCTTGCCTTACAAGGGAAATGCCCACAGGAAGCCATAGGAAGAAGTAGCAGGTAGACTTTGGCAGGTAGACTTTGGGTTCTAAACTTTGAGTATTTCCTGCCCAGCCTTGTGCCAGGAAATCTACCCAGTGCTCTGATTCTGTCCTACCTCCCCATAGCTGAGGTAAGACAGGAGTGGGGGCCCCTGTTTGGGCTGCTATTGAGCCACACCGCTGCCCTCCCAGTGCCCCAGCCTGGTCTGTTTACTTCTCTGAGCCATGTTTGTGTCCTCATTGGCCCTGACCACTCCCTGGCGGATCTCCTCCAGCCACAGCACAGCTCCAGGATCTCCTGTCACCTAGCAAATTGCAGAAGATGGAAAAAGACAAGATCCCATGTCTCTGGACTCTAACCTCCCCGCCCAGGGAAATCAAAGGGCAGGCAAACCCTGGAGTTGCAAGGGCAACTCTCCGCTCCCTCTTCCTGCCCAGTGGAGGCATGACCCTATGGTCCTCTTGGACAGTTGCCAGGCCCAGAAGGCTCTTTTCCTACTCTGCTTTCTGGTGTCCTAAGCATCAGCTCAGCTTGGCCACAGGAGTCTCCACAGTTCTTACTCCCTCAGTATCCAGATTCGTCTCGGCAGCTGCACTGCCTGCCCTTGTGCTATAGCCATGCCTAGGGACAGCCCACTCTGGAGGTCCACCTACCCAACCACCCTCCCATATCCTCCACCTCAGTTCACTCCTTCTTAGCTGAATCCTGACCCTGACCTGAATCTTTTCCTTGTTCCATATTTCTTGTCCCCACAAAGTAGTTGGTTTTTTTTTTTTGTTTTTCAGATTCGTCTCGGCAGCTGCACTGCCTGCCCTTGTGCTATAGCCATGCCTAGGGACAGCCCACTCTGGAGGTCCACCTACCCAACCACCCTCCCATATCCTCCACCTCAGTTCACTCCTTCTTAGCTGAATCCTGACCCTGACCTGAATCTTTTCCTTGTTCCATATTTCTTGTCCCCACAAAGTAGTTGGTTTTTTTTTTTTGTTTTTTTTTTTTGGTCTTTTTGAGACAGGGCCTCCTTGTAGCCCCAACTGGCCTGGAACTTACTATGTAGACCAGGCTGGCCTTGAGCTCACAAAGATCTACCTGCCTCTGCCTCCCGAGTGCACCACCACGCCCAACTCCCCAAAAGTAGTTGGAAGATTATGAGACAGGTCAATAAACCTGTTTGCCATGTGGTCGGCCTGAAGCCCAACCTGACTCCATCTACTCTCTTCTCATCAGGAATAGATTCTGTAAACTAACATTTTATTGAGCACCGACTATGTGCTAGGTACTGTCCATCCTTCCTCCCTTCCTTCCTCCCTCCCTTCCCTCTATTCTCCCTCTTTTTCTTTCTTCCTTTCCTTTCAGACAGGGTCTCTGTAACTCAAGACAGCCTCAAACTCAAAGCAATCCTCTGCCTTCCAGGTGCTGGGACTGCAAGTATGTGCTTCCAGGAACTGTTATGAAGACCTTTCTATGCATTAATATTTGAAAGGTGCAAAAAACAATGCTTGGTTTTGCTAATACTGTGATCTGATTACCTTACTCAAATCCAACAACTGTGAGCTAACAACTGTAAGCTCGTTCCTGTCACAAGTTTGTGTGGGAAAATGGCAGCAGGGAAATTAAATGATACTGTAGGGTAAGACTGAGAATGCAAACTCAGTATTTTGGCTTGGGGGCCCTAGTTTTCAACCCTGTTGTGCTGCCACATACTTGGAGTATGTCAGTTCAAATCCCTACCTCATTTGTCATCTCACTGAATTCTCACCAAGAGGTTCAAGGGACAGAGTACTCAGTGCTTTACAGATAAGTATGCATAGCCCAGAGACATCAAGAGATCGCTCAAGGTCAGGTGAATCCAGAAGATCAGAGTGGGGAATCCAGCCCAGCCTCTGATACCCAGGCCTCTTCTCTCCTCACATTGTCCAGGACCCTGGCAAAGAGGACCACACTTCCCCAATATCAACTAAATTCTGCCTGTGCCTTGCCTGGGGAAGAGTCTGTATCCATCAGTCTGGAGCAGTGCCAGGATGCATGCTGGCACATCTCTGTCCACAAGGCTGTTCCCCCTGCTCTAATTACCAACCCAGCCATTTCTAGCCTCACCTGGGCTTTCTGCCTCTTGGCTGCCACAAGGAGGAGATGATACCGAGGAGCAACAGGCAGGCTGATGTCCTCCAGGCCAGCTGCTGGAAGCAGCAGGGCGGACAGAGTCTTTTCAGGATGGCCCTGGTCCAGAGCCTCATTGATGAGGCTGATGGCAAGGACCTCTGAGGAAAGATCTGGATGAGAATGATAGGGGAAGGACTGGGCTGACAGGGGAACTAGAGGGTAAAAGCACTCACGGTCTGTCTCCTCTTGGACCTGGGCATTGACCTGGCTCACAGTAGCCTGCAGGTCATTCCAGCTCAGGAAGCCTCCATCAGTTTCCCGCAGCTCTCGCAGCTTCACCAGGGCATCAAAGTAACTGGCGGTGGGAAGGAGAGTAGTGTGAGTGGCATGAGCATGCGTCAGCTAGAAATGAGCATGCACCACTGACATATGGGAAAAACTTTGATTCTTCCCAAGGCCACAATTTACAGGGTCTCTTCTCCCCATCCAAGACTCTGCACATCATAACAAAAGTCTTGGGTAATACGAAGGGAAAGTGAACTTTCCCACGGCTACTTTGAATGGAGATTCTGCAGCAAGGACAAAGAGACGCGGTCACCTTGGCGGGTGCCAGCGCAGAGCAGGACTGGACCTACCGGCGTGGTCCGGCAGTGCGCTCAAACATTCCCCCCCCCCCCCCCCCCCCCCGCTTCCTTCCTCACTTGGAATAAAAGCCAAAGGTCCACATAAGCTGTTCTCCACTAGCCCATTCCTCTCCTGTCTCACTCTACTCACCACTCTGGCTTCCTGATGGCCTTTGTTTCTCATTTTTTTGAACACTGGGGGTTAAGGCTAGAGCCTCAAACATGCCATATAAACACTCTATCACTGAGTTATACCTCAAGCCCTTCCTAATGTTCTCTGGATGCACCTAAGATACTCCTCTGTTTCAGAGAGACTCGTGGCAATAACTCAGGCTCCTTAGGTTCCTCTCCAAATGACCCTCTTCCTTGTTAAAACAAAAAGATTATTATTTTTACTTTATGTATTTGAGTGTTTTGCCTGCAGGTATGTAAGTAACCTGTGTCGTGTGCAATGCCCATGGAGGTCAGAAGAGGGTGTTGGATCCCCTGAAACTTACAGATGGTTGCTAGCTGCCATGTGGGTGCTGGGAATCGAACCCAGGTCCTCTGCAAGAGCAGTCACTGCTCTTAACTGTCAAGCCATCTCTCCAGCCCCATGACCCTCTTCCTTAAGAGCCATCTATAAGCACACTATATGAACAGGAAAACTGGTCCATGCTCACCCTTTGGAACTGAACAGAACTGGGGCTTGGGTCCAAGAGTGGGCATCAGGCAGAAGGCTAGTTTCCAATGTTGGCCACATATCACTGTCCCCTTACTTCTGACATGCAGTTAAACCTTTGGCACTTACCGCTGAGCATTTTCTTCTTCCACCTGGGCCAGGCCAGAAGCAGGGTTCACTAGATTGTCCCAAAAGCCACAAGTGTCTCTAGCCTCCAGAGCACGATTAATCAGGATCACAGCTGAGAGCATCTCCACAGCCACAAAGAGCTCCTCCTGGACCAGTTCCTGTATAGGAAGGGAGTCGGGGGAAGGGCTGCTGGAATTAGCTTGCCTCAAGTTCTTCAACATCCATCTCCATTCCCAAACTCCAGAGCCTCCATTTACTCCCCAATACCACTCATATTCCACATTTGGGATGCATTCATTCACCAACACCTGGACTCATTCATTTACTAACACCATTCATAAACAATGCCTGGGATGCAGTCATTCACCAACACCACTTATACTCCACACCCAGGATGCTTTTATTCACCAATACAACTCATACTCAATACCTGGATTCATTCATTTACCAACACTATTCATACTTCATACCTGGGATGCCTTCATTCACCAACAACACTCATACTTCATACCTGGGGTTGTTTACTATGAACATAATTATGAGGACTTCACACACAGTATCATTTTAACTTTCATAACAAGTCAATGAAGTAGGTACTATTAATAGTCCCATTTCTCAGCTAAGCCCATAGTAATGGACCTGCCTGACTGCAGAGACCACACTCAACCTGTGACCTCTGTCAACAACCTTCTGGCCCCCACTTTACACCAGAAACTTCAAGAGACCGTAGTGATGCGTATATGTGATCCCAGCACTGAGGAGGCAGAAGATCCAGAGTTCAAGGCCATCCTCACACATATAGCAAGTTTATGGCTAGCCTGGGCTATGTGAGACCCTGTCTAAAAAGCCAGAAAGGAAAAAAACAAAAAAAAACTGTACAAGGTCCTGGCACAGAGACAAAGACCAAGTGGCTACCTCCATACTATGTTGTATACCATAATGCTCTGGCCCCATTCCCCACCTACTTCTCTTTCACCTCCTCTTAAAATACCTGCTTAGGCTGTTCCGTATGTATGTATGTATGTATGTACATATTTTTTTTTTTTTTTTTTTTTGAGACAGGGTTTCCCTGTAGCCTCAGCTGGCTATGTAGAACTCACTATGTAGACCAGGCTGGCCTTGAACTCACAGAGATCAGTGTGCCTCTGCCTCCCCAGTACTGGGATTAAAGGTGTGTGCCACCACACCCAGCAGCATCCTTTTTTTATTCTACAAATAGAATGCCACTAATGACAATGATGATAGCTAAAAGTTATATGCTAGGCTCTTCTCTAAGTATGTATGCTAATTCACTGAGTCCTTCAAACAACCCTATGAGGTTGTTACCATTTTATATATGAAGAAATTAAGCAGCAGAGAAAATAAATAACCTGCCCAATGCCACATAGTTAGAAAGTAGCAGAGCCACATTTGAACTCGGACCTCTATGGTCTACACCTTAGTCAGTATGCTGTGACCGCTCAGTACTTATGTAGTACGTCCTTATAGCACAGTCTTACTCAGATGCTGAATGCACCCTTCCTGAAGGTAGTGGTGTCTAGTTAGTGTCTGTAGTAAATGTTCTAAGAACACCTGCTGTGCGTGGGATTCTCTATGAATTCTCTTCCAGGAAGCCGTCTCCGACTTCCTTCAGCTCTACCTCCCCCGTCTCCCTGGTCCTTGATGTAAAATCATCTTCTACCTACATCATTTACTTTTCTCTCCACCTCTGCCTGGTACCTCAGGTGTATTCTAACTCCTGCGGCAGACAATGATAACACTAAGCAAGAATCACACCTCACTGTGAGGTAGGGCAGCCTCATGGCTAAGGCATGTCCTGCCAGTCCATTCAGCTTTGAATTCACTCACAGTGCCGCCAGTCAAGTGAGTAGGTGAGCTACTCAATGTGTGTGTTCCCGTTTCTTCACCTCTAATCAGAAAGACCAGCACTTACTCAACAGGACTGTCATCAGGACTGAGGGAGAGTATACAGCAGTGTTTGATTAAGGTACTGGCTACCATGCTGCAGCAAGGCAAGGCCCTCCCTATCCTAACTCTGGCCAATAGTTCACATTGCCCCCAGAGGACTAGCTGTCCCCATTCCTCTACTTGCTTGGGAATCCCAAGCCTACCCCTACATTTTTGAGGCTTACCCTCTGCTGCTGCTTCTGGAGTACAGCCAGCTCCTGCTGGTACACAGCAGGGGCAATGGGGTACACAGCGGGCAGCTGCGCTTCAGGGCACATTAGCTCCTTCACAGTGTCTGTGGCCACTCCCCTCTGGATGGCTCTGTTGATCCTCCACACAGCCTGGAGCACTGCAAGAGAGAAGAGAAAGAGAGGACACGGGTGGAGCATTCTAGTTATCTTGGATGTCCTAGCCAACCAGGCTCTGCTGGGACCAGTAAGGGAAATGGCTTTGTAACCCTCTAGAAAGTCATTCTTCTAGGTTCAAAATACATTTCTGAATGTGCCAGAGGAGAGGGGCCTAGGTCATTTTCAAAGAAGAGGCTCTGTGAGAGGCAATTTGTCAGGCCCAAAAGCTGAGTAGCTCAGAATGCAGCAGAGTGTCATGGCAGAGAATTCCTAAGGCTGTGAGCGCAAGATTGATAGGTAGCTATGGAGGGGAACTAAGATGAAGTGAGTCAAGGGCTCTAGGGACCAAACCTTGGTGACAGTGTAAAAGAATAAAGAGGCAGTTCCACTTGAGCTACAGTGAGTAGAAGAAGCTAAAAGGGGCCATAGTACCTGGGTATGGTTTGAGTTTACATGCTTTAAGTTAGTAAAATGCCAACAGATGTGGTTACTGGCTTCAAGGAGCACAGGATCTTGTGAGGAGGAATAGGGATACAAAAACATCTCCAGCACCCAGCAGCAAAGGCTACAGTACAAGTACCAACCCCAGTGCTATAGTGGCTGTGTTGAGAGTGAGCAGAGACCCTTCTTCACAAAGAAGCCTCTGAGACAACTCTGAAGATGTTTTCACCTTCTTCTGATAGGTAAAATGTATAATCCAGAGGCCCAGAGGTCAGGGGTTGGAAAAGCTAGGGAGCAATCATGCTGGGTGAAAGGTAAATGGAAGAACAGGAGAGCACTGGGAAGATCTCATCTGTCCAGGGCATGGGATCAAAGTGTGAGATAAAGAATGTAAGAAATTTAATCCCAGCCCTTGGGAGGCAGAGGCAGGTGGATCTCTGGGATCTCTATGAGTTCGAGGCCAGCCTGGTCTACATAGCGAGTTCCAGGCAAGCTGGGGCTACAGGGAGACCCTGTCTCAAAAAAAAAAAGCAAAAAATTGTGTTTGCATATGTTTTAAATGTAAACAATTGTGTTTCTTCCTCACCTGAAGAATCACAATTCAGAAGCCAAAGAAATGTAAGCAAGCTCAAACTCAAAACTATAGGCAAACTGCCTGGAATGAAACTGCCTGCCGGGAAGCCTAGTCCTGATAGGTAGTGACATGTCATTATCTTTCATCTGTTGTGTCCTTCCAGGGAGGGTGGGGAGGGCAGAAGGCAGAATATATGAAGGGCAAAGTCCCTAGGCTGGGGAGCTAGGCAGCAGTTTGTTTTGTCCAACACAGAAGCCAGAGAAGAGGTAGGATACATTTCCAAGAGCCAGCAAGATGCTTCCCAACCTGGAGATGACTTACTGGCTTCCTCCTGATCACCCTTCTTGTTCGCTGCAGCCACACCAGCCTGGATTTCCTCCTTCTCCAGAAGCCCCACCAGGCCTAGCTCCTGCAAGAGGGCAGAGGCAGTAGAAGAGAGTCCTTGAGGGCCATGAACATGCATTAGGAGTTGCCTGTACAAATTCCACGTCCACCAAGCATGCGGTCCTGCCTCTCCCACCTATCTCTATAACCCCATCTTTAATCTTTTTTATCTAGCACATATCTAAAATAATAATAAACAAGATGCAAGTATTAATAGCACCAGACAGAAAGTCAAAGCACTGAGGACTAGGAAGATGACTTAGTGGTTAAAGTGCTTGCCATGCAGCTTGGATCTCCAGAACCCATGCAAATGCTGGCCCACCTGTAATTCTACTTCCGAATGCAGAGACAGGATTCCCAGAGCAAGCTGGCTAGTGAGACCAGCCACACTGATGAGCTCTGGGTTCAACTGAGAGGCCCTGCCTCAATGAATAAGGTGGAAGAGCAAGAATAATTCTCAACATCAACCTCAGGCCTCTATACCCATGTGCACATGTGCATGTGCACATCCCCTCCCACATGAACACACATGTGCACATGAACTCACACCAGATACATACGTATGAGAAATAGGGGGAGGGGTCAAAACATTGAGAACAAAATCATCAAATCAAAACTGAAATTCATCAAGCGGGAGCCTATCACTGTGTTTTGGACTGGCTATGGTCCCTCCTGTCTGAGGGGCTCTCAGAAACAGACTCTGACAGCTTGGTCTTCTGGGCTTTGGGGTGACTTAGCTATGTAAACATGGAATTAGTGGTGACGTGCACAAAAGAGGCTGTTTCTACCCTATAGGTAGACAGAGGTGAGAGCTAGAGCCTGACCTGGGCCTTCTGCTCTCTGTCTGAGCTCAGCTGTTCCAGGTACCAGTCAGCAAAGTCTCTTCTCACTCTTATCAGAGCCAGGACAGGGTCTTGAAGGGCCTCAAGCAAGGCCTCAGGGCTCTGTTTTACCAGAGCATCATCAACAACTTCTAGAGCTCCATGGACTGAAAAAGAGCAAGACTCCAAGATTTTGTGTGAAAAGCCCACCTCTCACCAACCCTGGGAATCTGCCTCCTTCCTGTCTGCCCAGAGCTATCCCTGCTCTTGATCCCTGGGAATTTGGGTCCATGTGGTACAGCCCATATCTACACCTTGGTCTTCACAGCCCTCCCTTCTCACCATACTAGACCTTGAAGGTATCTTGACCCTAACAAGCAAAATGTCCTCCCATTCTGAGCCTTCCAGTTGCCCCTGACCGCTCCTCCCCCATCTACCATCATCCATCATCCTTCCCATTTTTTTTAAATTGTTTTTATTTTCTGTGTATGCATGTATTGCCTGCATATAGGTAAATGCACCCGTGTTGTGCAATGCCCGCGGAGGTCAGAAGAGTCTGTTGGATGCCCTGGGACTGGAGTTATGGACAGTTTTTAGCTGCCATGTGGGTGCTGGGATTTGAGCCCGGGTCTTCTGCAAGAACAACCGGTGTTCTTAACCGCTGAGCCATCTCTCCAGCCTCCATTTCTTTTTCTTCTGAGACAGTCTCACTGTGTAGCTCTGTAAGGCCTTGAATTCTCAATCGTCCTGCCTCAGCCTCCTGACTGCTAGTATTATAAGTGTATACCCCTATTCCCAGCTCTACTCCTTTCTTGACTCTAATTCAAATACAACCTTCTAATTCCCTTGTCCCCAGCACCAGGAGCTGAAAGACCATTTGCCTCTGGCCTTTCTGTAATTCTTCATTCCAAAAGTAGAGAGCCGCTCCTCCACCACAGCCAGACAGAAGACACACACCCCTTTGGCCTCTGATCTCCTGGGATAGGAACTGGCTCACATGAGGTCATGGAGTTTATCAGAGCAGCCATCCCTAAGCTTCCTAGGACGCTCCTCATCATTTCTTACCATTCACGTGGTTGATATGGCCCTGGATCTCTGCTTGGGTGAGGCAGTACTCATAGATGTCCTGTTCTTGTCTGTCATCCTGTAAAAGCTAGACTTAGAAAGAGACCAGGGGAACCAATGCAATCTCTTCCTCTCTGTCCTTGTCTACACTCACTTCTACAGACCAATCTGCTTAGGACTTGGAGAAATTGTGGGGTCTATCCCCTGGAACTGACATAATTAGGCCAGAGGAGCCTGTGGACTCTCTAGTCTTAGTCTCATCTTGTGCCACATTCCTGAGCCCCTCAGGCCACCCTGAGGCTCATCCCTGAAGATCTCCCCCAGCCTCCTTGGCTGAATAACATCACTCTTCCATTTCCTCTCCTATAAAACATCACTGGCCTGTTTTGCTAAGAAGCAGCTTTAGAACCTGAGGCAGGATAGACAGCAGTCCCAGTTCCACTTGAGACTTCCAGGCCACTTAGTTTTTTGGCCCCTGTACCCCAAGGTGCCTTACAAAGTTCTTGGCGTTGGCAGCCTTTTCCATCTTGGCCATAGCCAGCAGCTCTTGGTAGATAGCTGCCAGAGGTTCACGAAGATTCCCCAGAAGAGCACAAGGATTCTGCAAGGCAGCCAGAGTGTCCTCCACCACCCCTCGCTCCACGGCCTCATTGATAGCAAGAACAGCTGCGTGGACTGGGAGGGGCATGGAAACAAAGTCAAGAAGCCAGAGGGACCAGGACAAGAATACAAGCAATTGACATACCCACTCTAATATACCCCCTTTGCATTCTCAGGGGACAGAGCCTGATTTCTCAGCCTGTGGATATAAGAGGTATCAGAGCCCATCCAAAGGCTGTGAGTCTCTGCATGCTCCTATGTCTTACTCCAAAGGCAGAGCCTAGCTTTACCTGCAGCCTCATCCACTGAGAGCTCATTGGCCAGGATGCCCCCGATCTTGCTGAAGGCAGGTAGCTGGAGGCCATACTTAGCCAGTTCCGAGGCAATGTTGCTGAGTTCCTCAGCTGCGATGGTACGATAGATGCCCTTCGTTAGACTCAGAGCCCAAAGGCTTTTCCCAGACTATGGAGATAAGAAAGGAGTTGGCTTACCTGTGAATTTCACTTTCCCATAGAGATCATGGATTTGAGGGGCCAATCCCAGCCGGAAGAGGAAGAGACTGGAAAGGATGGAAGGTTTTAGGACACACTGGTATCTATTCATTTTCACAATCTGCTCACAACAGGTAGGTAGGACAGACATGGGAACCCAAAGATGAAGAGCACTTAGCACCTGCCCTCAAATCACCCCAACCTACAAGGAAAATCAGCCAAGGCAAGAGCTATGGAAGGGAAATTCAATGCTACAGGAAGTCTAGGCAGCCATGAAGGTGCCACAGAAGGAGGATACAGGGTAGTGGAAAAATAACAGGGTAGAGATGGAGGATGGGAATGGCATAGCAAACAGAGCTGCTGAGGCCAGGAATGGAGGCAAAGGACATGGGAAGGGAGGGTGTAAAAAGATGGCATGGTGGGTACAGGTCAATCCCTGTCTAGGACTTGGCCAGTTGACTGCTGATGGCTTCCTGTGGGTAGGACCAAGCAGCCTTCCTTATTTGCATTAAGCATCTTGCATGTAATTCTCTTGATGAGTCCAGGTACCGATTCATCATATCCTAGTCACAAGCTGAACCTTACCCTGAAGCTCTTTTACTCACAAAAGTCACACATAAATGTGCCCTCAAACATGTATGTGAATGTAAACACCCATGCGGATCTAAAATCTCACCCTCCTGAAAAGTGCTCATGTGGTTGCCCTCCCTCCTACCTGCTGCATTTACTGCTGCTGACTGATGGTTACATCCACCTAGAGGAGCCTAGTTGACAAAATTCAGGGTTCTCTCACCTGAGAGCATGAATGCAGTAGATCACCCGAGGCATGTTCTTCTTGTCATAGATGTCCGTGGTCTCTGGGAAAAAGGTCTAGAGGAGAAGTCAGCCAGTTACTGTATCAGGTATAGAGAGGACTGGCAATGAATCTTCCTTGCCAACCAGAGCTAGAAGCTAGAAGCCTGGGGCTTCTAGGTCAGTTTCCATGACCATTTCCCTTTAGCCCAGTGTAAAAAGGCAGAGGGGACACATACTAAGACAAGACATGGCCAGTCACAGAGTGCCTAGGATTAACTGATCACTAGATGAGACAATGGGGACTATAGAATGTAAGCTATATTTGGCAGAAAAATTGGGCCCCAGGCTCTTACAGCCTCAGTGAGCCCCAGTCTCTCACCTGAGTCTCTCTCCACAAAGATGGTATGTTGGGGAGCTGGCCATGCTGTCAGGGAGGGCCCAATGAGGCATGTATTGCCAAGGCTCATATAGGTATCAGGTTTCTGGTCTTTTTGAGACAAGGTCTCCCAGTACCCCAGCTGGCCTAGAATTCACTATGTAGACCAGGCTGGCCTTGAACTCACAGACATCCACCTGCCTCTGCCTCCCGAGTGCTGGGATTAAAGGCATGCACCACCATGCCCGGCAGCAGCAAGTGTTCTTAACTGCTGAGCCATTGCTCCAGCTGCCCAACTCTTTACTTTTCTGAGATAGGGTTCACTATATAACCAAAGCTGGCCTCAAATTCACAATCCTTCTGTCTCAACTTCCCAAGTGCTGGGATTATAGGTTTGTGCTACCACACCCAGAAAAATGTCTTTCTTTGCTATTTCCTCTTTTATTACTTTTTTACATTTTTTATTTATTTCTGTGTGTGTATATGTGGGTGCACACATGCCATAGTGTGCATAGATGTCAGAGGACAACTTTCAGGAGTTGGTTTTCTTACCATGTGGGACCTGGAGAGCAAACTCAGGCCAGGCTTGGTGGCAAATGCCTTAACCCAGTAAGCCATCTTAATAGCCCTTCCTCATCTTTCCCTTCTATGTGGAAGAAACACAAAGAAGAAACCATACACTGCAGAATTCTATCAAGCCTTAATTTGCATAGTGCTTCTACAAAGGGAATTTACAGACCATGGAATCCTCCTATCAACATTATAGGGTAGACAAGCAGAAATGATCATACCTACTTTATAGGTGTAAAACAAATTGGGGTTCACAGAGGAAAAGGACATGTAACATGGGTGCAGTGGGGTCTTAGTCCTACATCTCTGGCTTGAAGTCTCCCACCTGGAAATGTGGCAGGCTCTTGCTCCACTCTGAAGTTCTGGTAAGATGATGGCTGCCTGTGGGTAGGACCAAGTAGCCTTCCCTATTTGCATTAAGTGTCTTGCATGTAATGCTCTTGACTGATTCATCTTATCCTAGTCATAACCTGAATCTTACCCTGCTGCTCCTTTGCTCACAAAGGTCACACATAAATATGCCCTCAACATGCACGTGAATGTAAACACCCATGCGGATCTAAAATCTCACCCTCCTGAAAAGTGCTCATATTACTGCCCTCCCTCCTTTCTGCTGCATTTTCTGGCATAGGGCTGATGGGGCTGACATGTCCTCCATGCCTACACTTCATAGCTCTGCTGCGTGACAATAATGATTCTTCTTAGCCCAGGAGACCTTAACCTCCTTTCATACACAAGGAAGTGAAGCCACCATGCAACTTGATTCAAAGGCACAAAACCCCACCAGGCATGGTAGCTCACACCTTTGAACAGGAAAGCAGGGGCACAGAGCCCCAAAAAGCTGTTCTCTTAGATTAGATAAACAATAATCTTGGGGCCCCTTGTTACCGAAGGTAGACCAATGTGGGCTACTGCAGACAGCCAAAAGTTGATGTTGTCCGTGTGACGGAAATGTAAGCCAGTTGCCTGAAAGGGAGGAAAGAGAGAATCTATTTCTATAACTCTCAGGGTTCCCTATGGGCAGACCAGATCCCAGCTTAAGGATTTAGGAGGGAAGGGTCAGAGGAGACAGAGGACCCCATTCTATAGCTCCCCTGCTCTCCAGGATAGAAAAACAGAGCAACAGGGGAATGGGTGACCCAGCTGGACATTTGGGAAGGATGGCACTGGAGAAGGGCTAACAGTTCACTAAGGCTTCCTAAAAAGAGAGTCTGAGCTGGCGTAGGACAGGAGGCTTAGGCCGGCTTGAGCAGAGAAGGGACACACACACCCAGGAAGGTCCTTCAGGGTGACGAAGCCTGTGAACCTTGTAGTGGAGACTGTGACTAGAAGATTTTATTTATTATTTTATGTGTATGAGCGTTTTGCTTGAATGTATGTAAGTGCATCACACACATGCCTGGTGCCTTCAGAGACCAGAAACCACGGACTTATAGGCAGGTGTTACCCACCACGTGGGTGCTAGAAACTGAATTCAGGTCCTCCGGAGGAGCAGTAAGTGCTCTCAATGGCTGGACCATCTCTCCAGCCAGATGTGGACTCTTAAATTACATGGTCACTATACCTTCATAGCTGTGAAAAGGGATAGCTTGGGAGAAAGACATGGCAGGTGCCCACCTGATACCTCAGCTGCTCCACGTCATAGATCTTCTTCAGGGGGACCACTGAGGGTGCAAAACAATGGCCCAACTTGGCCAGGAGCACTCCATTCCGAAGACTCTCTTCCAGTTCCACTGGTGATGGAAGCTCCTCCTTCAAGCATGCCTCCATCCAGCTGTGAGCATGAGAGCTTGTCTCACCCACTGGGCAGGCCATATAGGTCCTGGTCCCTATAGGGCCTGCCAAGTGCCCCCAAGTGCCCTGGGACACCTCCATTCCTTCCCTGCCCTCAAGTTCCCTCTCTTCATATTGTCTCACTACCCACGCCCCTTTTCCCAAGCTGCCACAAATGCCTAACCAAGCCAACCCTCTGCTCACCCACCCTGGAAAATCTTCCTGGGTGGATCTCGAAGTTGCCAGTCTTCAGAGAGGTATAGCCAGAGCCTGTTACATAACCTCCCACTCTGGCTACATACCTAATTCAAACCAAACAGAATCTACAATTTCTCTCATGATTCTAGAACCCTAAGAACAGAAAGTTCATGCCTGCTCAAATAATCTTCATAGTTCATAACTCAGCTTTGAGGATGATGACAGTAACAGGAACCCCAGGGATTGTTGGAAGAGAAACAGCATAAGGGACACAACAGGCACACCTCTTAGAATCAGAGGCCTAATTTTCAATTTATGTCCCAGACTTCACCTCTGAGACTCAACTGCATATCTGCAAAATGAGGCCAACACCACTGGTACCGTCTGCTTCACTGAGCAGCTGCCAGGACCAATGAGCTGGTGATTGTGAAAACACTTGGAATATAAAAGCATTTTTCTGCCAGTGGCTGTACAAAGGCAAGCATAAAGACTTCTCGGGGAGGTTGGAGAGATGGCTCAGCGGTTAAGAGCACTGGCTGCTCTTGCAGAAGATCGGGGTTTGAATCCCAGCACCCACATGGTGGCTAACAACCATCTATAACTTCAGTTCCAGGGGATCTGGTGGTCTCTTCTGACCTCCATGGGCACTGCATGACATGAATGCACTTACATACAGGCAGCCATAACACACATAAAATAAAATAAAAAATAACTAAATGAAAAAATAAAAATAAATTTACAAAAAAAAAGACTCCTTAGGAACTTTCCAGATTTCCCTGTGCATTGAGGTCTACAAGATAGTATTTATCTCCAAAGAGAACCAGTCACATCTTGCTTCATGCTGTCCCTGCTGGAGTCTCAATATCCCAATTTCCACTCTGCTCCATCCTACCTGCTTTTTGGAAAACACTAAAACAGACTATTAGTTATAAAGAAAAGAGGGGTTAGGGAGATGCTCAGCAGGTTAGAGTGCTTGCTACATAAGCACAGGGACCCACATAAAAACCAGGCATCACTGGGCATGGTGGTGGATGCTTTTAATATCAGCACCTGGGAGGTAGAGGTAGGCGGATGTCTATGAGTTCCAGGCCAGCCAGGGCCAAATTGTGAGACCCTGTTTCAAAAAAAAAAACAACAAAAGCCGGGTGTGGTGGTGCACGTCTTTAGTCCCAGCACTGGGGAGACAGAGGCAGGTGAATCCCTGTGAGTTCAAGGCCAGCCTGGTCTACATAGTGAGTTCCAGGCCAGATGAAGCTACAGAGAGACCTGTCTCAAAAAGGACAAAACAAACAAACAAACAACAAAAAAACCCTAAAACAATGACAACAAAAACCAGGCACCTGCAACCTCAGCACTATGTAATATTACTGGATTGCTAGAGCATGCTGGCCACCAGCCTAGCTCCATGTTCAGTGAGAGATCCTGTCTCAAGGAAATAAGATGGAGCCTAACAGAGCTAGGTACCTAGCATTCCCCTTTGAAATCTACATGCATACCTGCGCGCGTACACACACGCACACAGAATTATGTATTTATCAAGCCCCTCCTGGACAAACTGAATTGAAGGGTAACCAGCCTTAAAATGATGAACGAGGGGCTGGAGAGATGGTTCAGCAGTTAAGAACACTGGGTGTTCTTGCAGAAGACCCAGGTTCAAATCCCAGCACCCACATGGCAGCTAACAACTGTCTGTAACTCCAGTCCCAGAGGATCCAACAGCCTCTTCTGACCTCCGTGGGCATTGCACAACCTGGGTACACTGACCTACATGCAGGCAATACACACATACACATAAAATAAAAATAATAAAAAGTTTAAAAAAAATGATGAACGAAGTCCTTTGTGTGTAGGGTATGTGTATATGGGTGCACATACATGTGAGTTATGTGGGTATATATACATCACACATATGCAGGGGCCAGAGGAGTATATTGGGTGTCATCTTCTATCCCTCTTGCTGTATTGTCTTCAGATAGGGTCTCTCACTGAACTTGAAGCTCCTGGCCATTTCTACTTAGCTGGTTGGCCAGTGAGCTCCTGGGATCTATCTATCTCCATCCCACCACTGCTAATGTTCAGGCTGGGTATTTGAACTCAGGTCCTCATGATTATACACTAAGTGCTCTCACCCAACGAGCCATCTCCCTAGTCTACTAAAAATTTTAGGAAATCAATTAATGAGGAAAAAATAACAGAATTGGAAAATGGTTATTTCATTTTGCATAAAGTCCTGTGTTCTATCTTTACTAGTAGGAAAAAACCAACAAGCATTCATTTCGCATTTATTTTGCATCCTTGATAATCAATTCCATTGAGGGCCAACAACATAAAGAGTCATTTGGTGATAGGTTAATAGGGAATTTTATGAAATACAGATTGTTACCATCTGAACTCCTAGATCAGACTTAGCATCACTAAAAGAAGCAGAAGGAGACACTGTGTTCCTATGAGATGTGATGTGAAACATGCCACCATCGATGAAGTCTTCTCATCAAAAAATGTTGATCCCGGGGCTGGAGAGATGGCTTAGCGGTTAAGGGCACTGACTGCTCTTGCAGAGGACCTGGGTTCAATTCTCAGCATCCACATGGTGGCTACGAACCATCCTTAACTCCAGTTCCAGGGGAACCCGAAGCCCTCTTCTGACCTCCACGGCATTGTACAACACGGGTGCACTCACATACGTGCAGGCAATACACTCGTACACATAAAATAAAAATAATAAAGAAAAAATTTTTTTTAAATGTTGATCCTGAGCTGGGTGTTGTGGCACACACCTTTAATCTCAGCACTCTGGAGGCAGAGGCAGGCAGATCTCTGTGAGTTCAAGGACAACCTGTTGAACAGAGAGTACCAGGCCAGCTGGAGCTACAGGGAGACACTGTCTCAAAAAGACCAAAAAAAAAAAAGTGTTGAACCTGAAATTAATGAAGCTTTTGGAGCCAACATCCATTTATAGAAAATATGGAGTTTAGAGAGATAAGTTGAAGACATCAAGAAGCAGATAAAGACAGTGTCAGGAAAGGGATCCAGTTTCTTAAACAAGTCAATGACACAAAAAATGAAAAAGGGGGCAGGTGAGCTGCTCTTGAGTTAAGACTTGAGAGGCAATCGTGATATATCAGTGTTTTAGATTCTTATTTTAATAAGCCAAAACAGATTTTCCTTTAATTAAATTTTTTTCACTGTATTTATTCACTGTACATGGTTCTGTATTATATAAGGACAGATTCTCTTTTTAGACAGTGAGTAAAACTGGAAAACAGCCTATGACTTGATTTTCCAGGGATTAACAGATAACTTAGTTGGGTATTATAATGGCACTGCAGTTAGGTAAGCAATTACCCACACAGTATAGAGCTATGTATTGAAGGACATAAGGAGTGAAAGGGTGTAACATCTGAGATTTGCCTTGAAAAACAGAGGATGTTATTTTTCTTTTCTTTTCTTTTTTTTTTAAAATTTTACCCTGAGACAGGGTCTCATGCAGCTCAGACTGGCCTCAAACTTGCTATGTAGTACAGGCTAACTTTGAACTCTGTGTGCGGAGAGAAGGAGGGTATATGTACATGATCATATGGGTGGGTACACATGTGTATGTGTGTGCATGCATGTACACATACCAGAGACCAGAGGTTGATGTCAGGTGTTTTCCTTGATTACTCTCCATCTTATTTTCTGTGATGGTCTCTTATTGAACTTGGAATTCACTGATCGGTTAAGATGGTTGGTCAATGAGCTCCAAAGATTCACCTGTCTCCCCAGTACTGGGATTACAGGCACATGCTATTATGCCTGGCTTTTTTGTTTGTTTCTTTGTTTGAGATGGTCCCCTTGTAGTTCCAGCTGACCTGGAACTCACTATGTAGATCAGACTGGCCTTGATCTCACAGAGATCTGCCTGCCTCTGCCTCCTAGTGCTGGGATTAAACATACACAGGTGTGCGCTACCACACCCAGCATGCCTGGCTTACGCTGTGCTTAGGAACTGAACTCCGGTCCTCAGGCTTGTGTGGCAGGCACTTTACCAACTGAGCCATCTCCCCAACCCCAGACCTTAAACTTCTTATCCTCCTATCTCCCAAGGACTAGGAGTATAGGTGTGTGCACAATGCCCAGCGGGAAGATACTGTTTCAACTTGTCCTTCCTTACAACATTGCTTTGGGGACAGGTGCCTAGGATAGCCATCTTTCTGGACCCTGCTTACCGCTTGGCTTCCTCCAGCCGGCACAGGTACTGATAGGCGATGTTCTGTCGCCTCTGCTCATCCATCTCCTCAGCTGTGAGGCGTTCATCTAAGGTGTGAGGGAAGAAGGTTAAGAAGGGAACATTAGACAGGGACCTCAGGGGATGGAGAGATGTTTCAGTTACTAAGAGTACTTGTTGCTCTTACAGAGGACTTAAGTTAGGATCGCAGCACCTACATCAGATAGTTAACAACAATCTGTAATTCCAGCTCCAGAAAACCTGAGGCTCTCTTCTAGTCTCTATAGGCACATGCACGCATGTGAGCTGTGAGCATATACACCACAGACACATAACTAAAAAATTTTTTAAATCCCTTTTTTTTTTTTTTTTTTTGTCTTTGAGATAGGGTCTTCCTGCAGTCACAGCTGGCCTGGAACTTGCTATGGAGACCAGGCTGGCCTCTATCTCAGAGAGAAGGTCCACCTGCCTCTATCTCCCAAGTGCTAGGATTAAAGGTGTGCACCACCGTGCTTGGCATAAAAAATAAAATAAATCTTAAAAAAAAGACAGAATCTCAACTCTGAAGCTAATGCTGCTCGGGAATACACTATCTCCACAGCCCCTCTAGCATGAAAGCTCCTCCCTATGACCTGACTCTTCCTCCCAGAACTCCCATCATCAGGGAACCTCCTTCAGTGCCAGAGACATTTCCCTTCTTTCCTCTGAAGTCATCTTCCTTTCTTTCTCCTCTTTCCCAAGTCTACCTCATGGACTTCCTTTAGTGCTGCCCAGCAGGGTTATCTAGATCCTTCCTTGGCTGGCAGCTTAGCCCCTTGTCTTACCCTTCATTAGATGCTAACTTCTCAAAGAAGTGCTGTCCCAGTCAGGTTCTCCCTCAAAGGTATGGCTGACACAACCAACCAGTAAGCAACAGCCATTCATTCACTCAATTCCTTTTGGTCAGACCCTTAAAAAATATAGGGACTGGAGAGATGGCTCACCAGTTAAAAGCACTGCTGCTCTTGCAAGAGGTTCAGTTCCCGGTACCCACATGACATCTAACAACAGACAGTAATTCCAGTTCCAGGAGCTCTAATGCCCTCTTCCAGCTTCTGTGGCCATTGCATGACATAGGTGTACTTACATACATGCAGACAAAACACTCATATGCATAAAATTTAAAAAATTAAAAAAAAAAAGAAATATAGGCAGGTGTGTGGTGCATGGTCTTTAATCCCAGAACTACAGAGGAAGAGGCAGGCAGATCTCTGTAACGCTGAGGCCAGCCTGGTCTACAAAGCAAGCTTTGGGTCAGCTGTAGCTACAGGAGACCCTGTCTCAAAAAGACAAAGAGAGAGAGAGAGAGAGAGAGAGAGAGAGAGAGAGAGAGAGAGAGAGAGACTATTAGTAAAAGAGAAAAACATGTACATAAATAAGCCAGGGGTACAATTATAGTCCACAAATAAAATCTGTGGAAACAGCAGAGGAAGCAAAAGATTTTACCTATGAGTTGGGTGGTAAAGCTAGTAAAGATGAGCAGGTAAAAGTAGTCCAAAAGAGGGATCCATCCCACACACTTGGGGTTAAATGAAAGGACAGAAAATTTTAAAAGATCACATGAGTGGGCATGGTGGCCCACACCTTTAATCTCAGCACTTGGGAAGGAGATGCAGATGGATCTCTGTGAGTTCAAGGCCAGCCTGGTCTACATAGTGAGTTCCAGGACAGCTCGGGCTACAGGGAGACCCTGCCCCAAAAAGACCAACAAAACAAAACAAAACAATCACACAGGTATCATCACTATCCTTCCTGCTCATCTGGGGAGGAAAGTAATTTTAAGTTAAGTAAAATGTTTGGAGGTTAAATAATACTAACCTCCAAATTCAAAAACAGGGAATACCTTAAATAAGATAGCATTCCTACTCTGCCTTAGCCACAGCCTCCCTTTATGACTCTCCTTCCTCCTCTCCCCATCTCTACTCTGCAGGGAACACAAAACCAAATTAAACACACAGGGCAAGAGAAAGTTGCACATACATACCAGAGTGCCTGCAGAGGCAGCCTGGTCACTGTCTTTGACTCAGCACTTAAGCCATTCCCACCCCAATTTCATCTTGCATATCCTGCAATAAGGACTTCAGGGAGGGTAGGGCTTATTTGAATTGGCAGTTATAAAAGTTAAATCAAACACACATTTCCAAGTACAGATTTGAAAATGCTGGCCAACAGTAGAAAATCCCTGGGTTCCTCTGAGGGAGTTTACAAGGTACAAGTGTTGGTTATTAAGCACAGAAAATAAACCAGTAAGTGACATCACCTCAGAGTTATGCATTGGGAACTGCCTGAGATGGCTTGGTTAGGGCCTTGAGCACACACACAATGTATCTTTACATTGTGTAAAATAGTCTTCCTGCCCTTTTTAAGTTGGAACTAGCGTTCCTTCATGAGGTTGGAGGGCACACGCTTTGTTCTTTGAGCCCTAGTGGAGAAGGGTTGGGGTGAAGGTTTTGCTTTTCATTCAGCCAATCAGATGGAACCTTCTCCCCTTTCTGCTAACCTGAGTTTCTCTCTAAAGGAGTGCAGTCCTCCAACTTACTAAGTAGCTAAGGATGACCTTGAACTCTTGATTCACGTGCCTCCACCTATCGAGTGTTGGAATTACAGGCAAACGCCACCATACCCGACCAGCAGATTGTGCAGTTTAAGTAAGTAGTGTTTAAGCACTATGAAGTCTGAGGGGCATGGTCTCAAAGCGGAATCCCAAAGCCTAAGTGTTTCCAGGTCCTGTGGCAGCCTTTGGCAAGTATGGTAGCCTACAAGTACAGTAACTGCTTTAAGGGGCCATCTAGATCCTCTACATTCGCTGGATCCTGGAATTCCTGAATCCGGGATTAGGGTAGACTGCTCTTTGAAAGCTCTGGAGCGTGCACGGGGTCTGCCCACAATTGAGCCCTCTCCTCACTAAGCAGTGCGCAGTACAGCCTCTCCCACGAAGGTCAAGCCCCACCTGTGGCACCCCTGCCCCACTCTCCCCGGACCCTTACGACACTCACAGGTCGCCCGACCCGGGGCCGCGGCTCTCGGATCCATGTTCCTCCTCCCAAGTTTGAATCTCCCGCCGCTGGGCCACCGCCCCTTACCGTCGCCTCACTGGGATAGGACGCTTCCGGTCCCTGCTGCTGGGAATCCTGGGGTTTGTAGTTCCTCCAAAGACAGGCCTCTCAGTGGGGATAGTAGGGATAAGGTGGAGGCAGTTCCTTGGTTTGCTGTTTCTCCAACTCCCCTTCACTGCCAAACTAGCTGTTTTTCAAGTATCCCCTGCCCCTGCCCTTGCCTCGATCACGTCACCCTAGTCTTTCCATTAACCTCTGCCACTTTCTATGATATTCCTGGGGGAATACCTGTGGGGTGCTTGGTGTTATACATTGAACTAGGTGATGTGTACAGAGATATATAAACACAGATAAGGCTCTAGAGACATGCTGTTATGGTACAAGCAATGGACAAATAATCAAATAACACAGAGGGAGGGAATCATAGCAGGAAGGCACAGAAATCTTCCTAGCAGAGGTTTTAAAAGTTGATCTTGAGGAAGGATAGAAAAACAGGTCAAATTAAGGGGTCATGGGAAAGGAAAGGGGCCCCTCATCCTGGAGTCTGGTTGAAATCACCATAGTTAAGAATTCTAGCACTGAGCTGGCATGGTGGCTGTGTATGCTTTTAATTGCAGCATTTGTGGGCAGAGGCAGGTGTATCTCTGTAAGATAGAGACCAGCCTGGTCTACATAGTGAGTTCTAGACCAGCTGGGGCTTCAGGAAGACCCTGTCTCAAAAAAAAAAAAAAAAAAAAAAGAAAAAAAAGTTCTAGCACTATCAACAAAATTTGCTGATAGACACAATATTCCTTTTCTATAGAGATATTTCAAATAATGTTAAACTAAGGGCTAAAGAGGTGGCTCAGTGGTTAAGAACACTGAGGCCCTGGGTTTGGTTTCAAGCACCCACATGGAAGCTAACAACCATCCTTAACTCTGGTTCCAGGGGCTCCAACATCCTCTCCTGACCTCTCTGGGCCTTGCACAACACAGGTGCACTTATGTGTATATAGGCAAACACTCATACACATAAACTAAAAATACTTTTTTCTTTTGGTCTTTTAAAAAATTTTTAAATTTATTTTTATTTTATTTGTATGCATGTATTGCCTGCATGTAGGTAAGAGCACCTGTGTTGTACAATGCCCTCGGAGGACAGAAGAGGCTGTCGGATCCCCTGGAACTAGAGTTAAGGACAGTTGTTAGCTGCCATGTGGGTGCTGGGATTCGAACCCAGGTCTTCTGCAAGAACAGCCAGTGTTCTTAGCCACTGAGCCATCTCTCCAGGCCCTCTTTTGGTCTTTTTAAAGACAGGATCCCCCCATAGCCCCAGCTGGCCTAGAACTCACTATGTAGACCAGGCTGACCTTGAACTCCCCAGTACTGGAATTAAAGGCATGTGCCACCACTCTGGGCATAAAAATAAACAAAATTGTTTTTTGTCTTTTTTGTTTGTTGTTTTTAGGTTTTTTTGTTTTTTTTTTTTTTTAGTTTTGGTCTCCCTGTAGCCCTGGAACTCCGTATGTAGACCAGGCTGGCCTTTAAATCACCGAGATCCACCTGCCTCTGCCTCCCAACTGCTGGGATTAAAGGCATGTGCCACCACACCTGGCTTATTTTTTCTTTAAATATTTTGTTTAAAACTGGGTGTGGTGCTACATGCCTTTAATCCCAGCAGTTGGGAGGCAGAGGCAGGTGGATCTCTGTGAGTTCAAGGCCAGCCTGGTCTACATAGCAAGTTCCAGGACAGCTGGGGCTACAAGGAGACTCTGTCTCAAAAAGACAAAAATGAATAAATAAATAAATAAATAAAATAAAAATTACAGTCAACTGGGGGCTGGGGAGATAGCTCAGGGGTTAAGAACACTGGTTGCTCTTGCAGAGGAATTGGGTTCAATTCCCAGCATCCACATGGTGGCTAACTGTCCATAACTTCAGCTCCAGGGGATCTGATGCCTTCTTCTGGCCTCCTTGGGCTTTGCATGACACAGGTGCACTTACAGGTGGAAAACACTCACATACATAAAATAAATTTTTTAAAATTAAAAAAATTACAATGAACTATGATTAATACTTAAGCATGGATGAGCCGCAAGTAATGGCTTTACTTCTTTCCCAGATATGGACCTGGGAGACTCACAATCAAGAATACAAATTTTATCTACAGTTAAAATATTTAAATGTGGGGCTGGAGAGATGGCTCAGCGGTTAAGAGCACTGACTGCTACTGCAGAGAACCTGGGTTCGATTCCAAGCACCCACATGGCGGCTACGAACCGTCCTTAACTCCAGTTCCAGGGGAATCCGAAGCCCTCTTCTGACCTCCGCGGCATTGCACGACATGGGTGCACTCACATACATGCAGGCAATACACTCATACATGTTGGGGAACCCTGCTGTTAAGGTTGGCTCCTTTCTCAGCAGGGGCTTCCTGCCTGACTTACCTGGAAAGTGCCGCCAAGCACCGATGCTTGGCCTCATTTAAAACATGACCTTTGGCATAGTTACCTGGAGTAACCTCTACCTACAAGTTTTTTCTATATGATAATTAGGCATTGCCCATAGTTGGATGATAGACTCCCACTACCACATGGTAAATAAAGCATACTATGAGCACCTATTAGCTGAAGCATTGGCTACTGCCTCCACACTATATTTTCCCTAACCCCCACTGAATAAACGGAGCTGTTTCACTGAGTCTGGAGCTGTTTGTATCACTGAACCTGCCTCCCCTGAAGGCGGTCCCTGTTCATCACTTCTGCTCTCTTTGTCCTCGTGGACCGGTGGCAACGACCCACGAGGAAAGGGAGAGACCCCACACATACACATAAAATAAAAATAATAAAATACTTTTTTAAAATTTAAATGTGACCTCCCTTTGCTTCCCTGGGCTGCACAGCCTTTGGCATCCTGGTGCCAGCACCTTTCCTGGGGTTTATACTGAGTTCAGTATTGTATAACTGTATTAATTCAACTGTGAACCTAAAAGTTACTGCCACTTTTGAAAGAAAAAATATATTTAAATGTAACTCACTTGTTCAACCCTTGTGTCCACTTATGACTTTTCCTTACTTGCTCTAATCCCAGCCAGTGCACCTAGAGAACTATAATATGATAGCCTATAATATCATTTAATTTTCTTGGCAACTTCAAAAGCCACCAAAATCAGAGACATGGGTATTGTAAAGGCACGAAAGCAAAAAAGACTCAGAAGTCCACACATGCCCCAGTGTGTGTGCTCTATTTTTTGTTTGGTTATTTTTGCTTGTTTATTTTGTATGTGTTTTTGCTGTTGTTTGGAGACCAGGGGTCTCCCTGTAGTCCCAGCTGGCCTATGTAAACCAGGCTAGCCTGGATCTACCTGCCCTTGCCTCCAGGGAGCTGGGATTAGAGTCATATCCCACACCCAGTTTGCTTGTTTTAAGAAGGGAGTCTCCCTGGCTTGGAGCTTGCTATGTAGTTACAGAACACCACCTGCTTCTGCCTTACCAGTGCTTGGATTAAAAATGTCACTCACCTGGATATGGTGGCACACACCTTTAGTCCCAGTACTTGGGAGGCAGAGGCAGGTGGCTCTCTGTGAGTTCAAGGCCAGCCTGGTCCACATAGTGAGTTCCAGGCCATAAGGAGACCCTGTCTCAAAAAGACCCCCAAAAAGTGTCTATTAACCTCTATGCTTAAATCTGTGTTACAATCTCTTATTAATAAACTCCAAGCCTTATGTGGTGGGCCATGCCTTTAATCCCAGCACTCAGGTGACAGAGACAGATTTTTGTGTGTGTGAGATTGAAGCCAGACTGGTTTACATTGTGAATTCCAAGCCAGCTGGGGTTATAGGGAGACCTATCTCAAACTCCCCCCACAAAATAAAATAAACAAACTCCAACTTGTCTTCATTCTGACTTGACCTGAAATTCTTTTCTGCAGCAAAGTGAAGAATCCTGGCTTCACCTGTGTAGGGGTTTCTGAAAAGAACTCAGGTTGCTACAGGCCACAGCATGAAGGTGTGCCTCTGGTCCATGTCCCACTGCTATTGCCAATGTGGGCTGAAAACTGAAGAATTTATTAGAGTAAAGGCGAGTGGCATTCCAGCCAGTGAAAACAACGAGTACAAGAATATTAAAGAAATTAAACTTGGTGATAGGGGAGAAAAGGTCAGCTAGGGAGAAGGTCAAGTTGCATACACCTTAGGCACATTGCTAAGATACCGAGACAGGGCCTGGTGAGAAGCCACCAGCCAAGGAGCTCTTTAGATGCAAGTCAGAGTCAGCATTTTTTTTTTTTTGTCCTTTTGAAGCAGGGTTAGGGTTAGCTCCTGTAGCCCCAGCTGTCCTGGAACTCACTATGGAGACCAGGCTGGCCTTGAACTCACAGAGATCTGCCTGCATCTGCCTCTCAAGTGCTGGGACTACAGGCATATGCCACCACGCCTGGCTCAGAGTCAGCTTTATGCTTTAGAAAAGTGATGGTAAAGCTGGGTGTAGTGGCACATGCCTTTAATCCCTGGACTTGGTAGGCAGATTTCTGTAAGTACTGAGGCCAGTCTGGTCTACATAGCAAGTTTCAGGCCAGCTGGGCTACAGGGATGCCCTGTCTCAAAAAGACCAAAAAAAAAGTGGCAGCAGGGGCTTAGAGAGGATAAGGCTAGGGACAGGCCAATTGGGAAGTGATTACAGTAGCACAGATAATAAAGGCTTAAACTAATAAAAGATAACTGTTACAAATATTGTGGGGGAAAAAACTGGAGCATATTTTATGATAGGTATTTTTCCCTTCTCCCTTCACACTCCATTCAAGCAGCTGGGTAGCCTAGGCTCAAAACCTCATTGGCAAGCCAGGCATGATGGTGCACGCCTTTAATCCCAGTGATCCAGGAGGCAGAGGCAGGTGGATCTCTGTGAATTCAAGGCCATCCTGGTCTACATACTGAGTTCCAGGCCAACTGGGGCTATGGGGAGACCCTGTCTCAAAAAAAAAAAAAAAGAATTAAATTGGGTTGTGATGGTGCACGCCTTTAATCTAAGCACTTGAGATTCAGAGGCCAGCATATCTCTGTGAGTTC